TGGGCAGCTGCTTTGTTTTTGCTGAGTCTTCTAAAGAGCCAGGGAGCACAAATCGCAGGCATCTGTCTTCGGTTTTGAAGATGGAAGAGAGGCAGGAGAAGGGCTGAGGAGGCTGATGTCTCTGCCCTGACACATCCTTTGGGTTTCCTGCGCCGGGCTCAGGACAAGCTTTCTCTTGGTTTGTGCTTGAGATGTAACTCAGAAGCAAAACTTTTGTCCTTAAACATCCCCCCCCCCCGAAAAAAAAAAAAAAAAAGGCACCAAATACAACCCCCCCTAAAATATTAACAACTTTGGGAAGCCATGAGAATAGGCCACCCTTTTTTTTTACGTTACTGTAGGTTTGCACCACAGTGCTTGCTGGCTAACTTAGCTGGGTTATCCTGGAGAGGGATAAGATGTGGGAGGTAATACAGAGTCAACTTGTTTTCTTTGCAAGAGGCTGAGGGTTGGGAGCATCGCTGTAACCTCTTTGTGCCTCTGGTAACTCAGAACTTTCCCCCCAGGCGGAGAATGAGCGCAACTACCACATCTTCTATCAGCTCTGTGCCTCCTCAAGCCTTCCAGAATTCAAAGATCTCGGACTAAGTAAGTACTGGAACTTCCCTGTGCGCTGGTGGCTGTTGCCTAGATCCGATGGCAACAGGAAAACATGGTGAGGTTGGAAATTCAGGTCACTGGTGAGGTCACATGTGCCTGTTCAGTGGGAAGAGGTGAAGGGAGATGAGCTTGAAGGGCTGCTTCTCCCTGACAGTGCACAGGTTTGCTTGTACCATCACCAGGGATATGGCACCCAGGATGAGGGTGGTGAGGCCCTGGCACAGGTTTGCCCAGAGAAGCTGTGGCTGCCCCTGGATCCCTGGGAAGTGTCCAAGGGCAAGTTGGGTGGGGCTTGGAACAACCTGGGATAGTGGAAGGTGTCCTGACCGTGGCAGCGGTTGGAACAGGATGGTCTTGAAGGTCCCTTCCAACCCAAACCATTCTAGGACTTCATAAAAATTTAGAGCAGAGCCACAGTGAAACTATGTGCCCTGGTAGATGCCAGCTGATGCAGGGAGATCATGTGTTAATGCTGTACCAAGCTTGCATAAAGATGTGTATTTTAAATCCAGTGTGAGTAGGGGTTGGTCTGGCCAAAGTCTTGGCTTTGAATCCATTGTGGTTTTTTTTCAATGGTTAACTCCTGGAACTGGTTAGAGTTCTTTTCCCAGAATTTGCAGCAAAACCTCAGTAGGACACCTGATTCAGAGGGTTTGCACTTGCAGCAGGGGGTGCAGAGATGTGCTTTAATTATCCTTTTATCTTGAATGTTTGATATTGCTTAGAAAAAGTAGCAAGGCTTAAAATAGGTTTTTTCAGTATTTAAAACGGTGAGCAAGGCAGGCTGTGATCCCAACACTCTCTTGCAGAGGAATGGCAGATCCAAGAGAGAGTTTTCAGTTTCTGAGTAATTCTGGGCTTTGTCTTTCTGGTTTTTTGTGTCACTGTAGGCATATTGCCCACACAGAGCACGTCACTTTGAGCACTTTCAAGAGTTGCTGCCATGTGGCTGTGTGCTTCATTTTTGCAAAGATGCCCTGAGTAATGGTGATGTCTGCTGGCATCTTAAAATTCAAACACAAATGCTTTCAGCTGAGACTGGGATATGAGCTGATGTGTGAGAGCTCCAGCTGTGCAACCACCTCTCTCATCCTGGGAACGTGTGGATCAGAGGAAACACCAGTCTTACTCATCACAGCTCTCTGGAAGCATCGTCTGTGTTGGTGGTGACTGGTAATAGTGTGGGCTGAGAGGTCTCTGCTCCGCTGTGTGTCATCCAAGATGCAAAAACATCTCTGTGCCGTTGTGGCTGGGGCTCTCAGCTTCTCAATTCAATGGCAACAGCTGGTGGTGTAGGAGGCAGTGGGTGCCAGGGCCCCAGCGGAGGCTTCATGGGTCATTTTTAATCAAAATTTGGTGTGGTCAGTGCACATCAGCCTCCAGCTGCACTTTTCAGTGGTGCTTGTGCGCTTGCTGTGTCGCAGCGTGCACAGGTATCCACCCACCAGGTCAAATGCAGCACTGGAAAAGGAGGTGATTCTTTCCAGAGTTGAAGGTGTGTGTCCTTGGTGTTTCCTCCACTGTCACCTTGCAATAGCTTAAAAAGGCCTCTCCAAAATGTTTTGGTAGCTGGCAGATGTGGGGCTGCTCACACAGTCTGTGGGGACAGAAATTTGGGTGCCGTGGGCTACTCTTGTTGGCGTGACGGAGGCTCTGCCTTGACCTGTGGAATTGCTAATGCTGGTCAGTGTTCTGTGAGTGCAGATATGCACAATTCACTTATTTTTTTTTTCTCTTGAGTGATATTTTTTCTTTTTTCATTTCCAACTTTGCCTCAGATTTACTAGCCTGTATCTCAGGCCGACTAGTCAAAACTCAAATTTCTTTCCTTGTGTGAGCTGTACTTACCTTATATGTCAGCTTTTTCTCCCCAAGACTTATACAAAACAAGGGTTATCTTGCTGTGGAAATCCACCACTTATTAGACATGGTGGAGGATGTATATTTTTCCTTATAAAAAATAAGAGCTTCTGCTTCTCCTTTGGCCCTTGTATGTACAAAGAGTTGTCATTACTGTCTTGTACGTTGCAAAATTCTCGAAAACAGAGAGAGTCTCTAAAGATGTGTGAACCCAGCAGTGGTTGCTCAGTCAGAGTGATCCTAAAGGCTTAATCCGAAACTAGAAGGTAAATATTTGACTTAAAAGGTTGGTGTGCAGTGCAGGTGTCTTTCAAAGTGTGGTGTCTGATTTTATGACGCCTTTTTTATGGGCATTGTCTGCCTGACCCCAGTCAGCGTTTTCTTGACCCCTTATTCCTGATGCTCCGTCCATGAGCAGAATTACCAAAACCTCCGAGTCCCTGGGCTTTGTGTGCCCAAAAAGAATTAAATGTTTTCCTTTAGAGCTTGAAAGTACAACTAATGCCAAAGCCTGCGGGAGGGCAGGGAAGGGACGAGGAGCTTCTGGTGGCAGTTTGAGTCAAAAATTGCAGATTGCAGCGATTTTAAAGGTTACCAGTAGGCTGATGTGGAACACACAGTAGGCTTTTTCTCTTTACATTCACGATGCTTGGGAAATATGTTTGTGTTAGTGAATGTTTTTTGGCAAGTCACTCCTACCCAGTTCAAAACAGGCTGAGTCTGATGCTGAGAACCCATTCTTAATGGTATTTGCCTCAAGTAAGCCCTTGTTTTAAGGAGGGGTGATTGCATGTGCAGCTTTTTAAAGTGGATATAAGCCCTGTGCTCTCTTTTTGTTGTATTTGCATTTGAAATGCCTCTCTGTCTCCAAATGATTTGTTGTTGTTGTTGTTGTTGTCCTGAAATAACTTGGCTAAAGCACAGATGTTTACATGGTATTCTCCATTCCCTTTGCTGCCAAGGTTTAAGGCTTTATGTGGGGAAGGTGTTGAAGTATCTGAATCAGTCATGGGTGTGTTAAACAGGATGAAAAAAATATTGAAAATAGTAACCTCAGTATCTGAAATAATCTTCACCCCTGCGAGGGAGCAGTTATTGGAGTACCAAATATGCCATAGCACTGGCCTGAATGAACTTGCTTTGAACGGGGAAGGGGTTTCATCACTGCAAGAAGCGGTTACTTATCAAGGTTCTGCTTCATCCATTTCTAAGTAACTGTGGTTTGAAGGAGACGGGTGCCCTTTGGGGAGCATCCCAGCCCATATTCCAGGGGAGCACTGCTTGCTGATATATCTCCTCTTTCTTCTTTCCTAGCCTGTGCCAAAGACTTTTTCTACATTTCTCAGGGAGGTGACACGTCCATCAACGGTGTGAATGACGCTGATGACCTTGAGAAAACCAGGCATGCCTTCGCCCTGCTTGGTAAGGGTTTGCTCTGCTTGGAGCCTGCCCAGCAGAAGTCTCTTGCAATTGTTTTGGGTGTTCTGCCTGAATTATAATGTTCCTGTTGACCTAGTTGGCTTTACTTTGTTCTTCAGTATGAGCTGCAGAAGTGTTTCTTTACAGCTGTCTGCAAAGCAGCAGCGAAATACAGAAGGACAGGGAGTTTAGGAGCAACTTAAGTAAACCATTGGGAAGGCAAAGTTGTGCTGCAGGTATTTTTTTACACTTGTTTACGAGCAGCAAAAGAGCAATTACTCTGCAGTTCAATCTGTGTTGGGGCTGAGGGTGATGTCACTTCTCGGACCATCACAGTATTGTACCAAGTAGCTGATTTCCTGGAAATAATGAGCTGAGTACATCCCTGCTGTGCAGAGTCCATGTCTGCGTGGCAGCTGCAAAATCCGTGGCATGCTGCAGTGGGGCAGTGCTGTAGCCTGCCTGCAGCAGTGGCTGTTGGAAAGGAAAAACAGGTTTTGCTGGGGAAAACTTTTATTAATATTTATCTGAAAGCATGTTTTTAAATCCTGTTCGGTCTCAGTGCCTCTCAGTTGCATTTCATATGTTGTGAGGGGAGCTCATGATGTTCACAGCTGGCTGTGAAATCCCCTGACCAGCTGTGCCAGCAATGAGCATGGGCACTCGTTTCAAGCATTGGAACTGCCAGTTTCCCAAAAATTTGTCCTGTTTGTGTTCAGATGGGCTCAATCTCTTTTTTTTTGGGGGGTGATAGCGGGGTCTTGTCATTACCTTCCTCTTGTACAGCTTGTGTGACTTCTAACTGTTAACTACTCAAAAAATAAGGCTTCTGTTTGCTCCAGATTTGCCCACAGGACTGTAATCCTTAGGGAACTCTCTTCCCATCCCCTTGGCATGTGTAGTCTCTCTTTGTTCCCCTTCTCCACCTCCCCAAGCAGCCCCCCTGTCTCCCTGCTGGTCCCTGGGAAGTACTGTGAGAGTATCTTCCTCTGCTGCCAGTTTGATGATGTTTTCCTTCTCTTTGCATGCTCTGCCTTTCCTCATCTTTCCCTCACTGTTTCTCAGCTCTGTTTCTGTTCAGGGCCTGGTGATACTGCTACTGCACTTCTCAGTCTTTCCTTTCTGTGTGTAACAAGAAGTTAAGTCAGATTTATCTGCAAATCCCCACCCTAGCCAGCTTTAACTCCAATTAACAGTTCCAAGAAACAGCAGAACATTGGTCCTTTTAGTAACCTTGAAACCTTTCTCACTGTGCTGATAACAGAAAAGTCCCGAGAGAGAGAGAAAGGGAAGCTCTGGGTAATTCAGAAACCAGCAGGTGATGTCTCGGACCTTGGGTGGATAATTAGGACACCAGCCCTGAACAAAAAAGGGACGCAGAAACCCAGCTGGAACGTAAAAAGAATGCAAGATACGGCAAGAAGGCCGTGTGCAGGCTGCTGCTGAGCAAAGCTCCTGCTGGGAATGCCTGTAAATCCTGCCAGAAAAAAAATATAAAGCAGTTAAGACTTGCAATGTGTTGCAATGTGTTGTAATTTCTGTGCTTCAGTTTTCAGCCAACAGAAAACAACTCCTTGCTCTGTAAAAGCCGCAGAGCTCTTACAACTCTGACCCTGTTTGATCATTATAGAGCAGCATCCTTGGTTTTGTGTGTATTAAACCCATCTGTGTTAAAATTGAGTGTTTACGGTGTGTTGATTGGAAGAAGTCTCATGATTCTGAAAACCCAACAGCCTGGGAAGGAAAATCAAAACACCTTGGGTGTCTTCAAATAAACTGAAAATTGCTGTTTGTTTTCTGGTGTGACAATCAGCTATCAACTGTTCACGCAGGAGTGACAGAGTCTCATCAGATGACCATTTTTAGGATAATCGCGGCCATCCTGCACCTTGGGAACGTGGAAATCCAAGCGGAACGAGGCAACGAAGCCTGTAGCCTGTCGGTAGGTTACCAGCTGGAGTGGGGCGTGTGGGGAGCTTGGTATGCTCATAAATCAGGCCAGGTTGGATGCACTGAGCTTCACAGCAGTGTGCTTTAGTAGGAAAGCCCTTTGCCTCCTGATTTTCTTCGCCCTTTTTTTGGAAACACGTTATAATTTCCTAGTTGCTTTGTTTTTCCTTGGAGTTAGTGCACTGTGCCTCCTCTCTGGCCAGCCTGTAGGCAAGATCATCCAAAGATTATCATTTTACATCCCAGCACATCTTTAACTCTTCCTGCTTCCCTAAAGAGCCTGGTGTGCAGTGCTGGGGAACGGTGACTCCACCAGCAGAAGGTGGGATGCTCTAAACCCACTTTCCTACAGGCAAAGCCATGGAGCTGCTGCTTGTGATGCAGCCAGTTCAGTATCCAAAAGGAACACTGCACAGTTAATTAGCAAGAATAAATAATACAAAACGTGCCTTAGTGGCAATTTTTCCGTTTCTCTGTTTATTCAGAGGTGGGGGGAAGGGAGGGAGGAAGAAAGCAGTTAATTTGGAAAATACGATCCTGTGAATTATCATTGCATCTCAGGCTGGGTAGTTTGTTCCCAATTAAAGTATTAAAATGGGTTCTGCACAGAGTTTTAGTGTTGCCCTTGAGATATCTTGGTGTTCGATGCATTAGGTGCTGGAGTAATTTGCTTGACATTTGGCGACATGGATATGTTGAAAGAGGTTCTGCTTTGGCAATGTTGAGTTCTGTTAATGAAGTTCACGTTGTTTAATTACCTTCAGATGTAATTGCAAGGTATTAAATCAGTTCTGTTTTGCCTTTGAATCTGTGGTCAGAAAGGTATGATAGCAATAAAGCATCCTAGAATTCTCGCAAAGTGCGCTTTTATTCTCCGTCACCAAACCCATTCAGCATTTGTATGTGCACGTATCTGACTGGAAACAATTTACTTCCTTTACATATATGTTATTACACAGAACAAAAAGGAATTTGTTTTCTTATTGGCCCAAAGGCAGTGCCCACTATCTTATTAGCAGAATAGAGACTCAGAGCTGCCTTGACTTGATTGGGGGGGAAAAATACATTTCACTAGAGAAAATGAAGTTCACATATAATTTTATTAATTGTTCAAAGCCCCAGCCCTTCTAGTAATGCACAATTTATGGCTTTGTTATTCAAAATGGAGTTAGTTTGTAAAAGGTGTCATGGCAAAGCCTAAGCTTTAGCTTAAGGGCTTAATCCAGGTTGCTCTGAAGGAGTGTGTGGTTGCAGCTCAGGGAGTAGTAAAGCGGAGAATACTCTGGCCTGTGAAATCTGCTCTTAGTGAAAACTGAGACCTCAAGGATAACCAGAGCAGAGCTGAGCCGTGGTGCCACTGTTTGGAGCTCTGGGTGAGCTGTTCCACTCATGTCCACGAAGACTGGCCCAACTGGATGAGTTTCATTGCTTTCCCATTCCTGCCAACCACAGAGGGACACAGTCTCTCCCTAGATAGTTATGGAAATGCCTCTAATTCCTCGCAAAGATCTTGGGTGTTAAAATTCCCTTTTGGGGTGTCACCAGCCCGCTGACTTTGGCTCTCATCCCCCCCCCCCCCCCCTCCCAGAGCGACGACGAGCACTTGAAGAACTTCTGTGGCTTGCTGGGCGTGGAGCTCAGCCAGGTGCAGCACTGGCTCTGCAACCGCAAGCTCGTCACCACGGCCGAGACCTACGTCAAGAACATGTCCCTGCACCAGGCGGTGAACGCCAGGAACGCCCTGGCCAAGCACATCTACGCCCAGCTCTTCAACTGGATCGTGCAGCACATCAACACGGCCCTGCACACCGCTGTCAAGCAGCACTCCTTCATCGGCGTGCTCGATATCTACGGGTAGGCACGGTTTCTGCTTTCTAGGGCAGTTTAATTTGCCCTCTGTAATTTGTTTTGCCCTTTATAATTTGTCTTGCCCTTCTTAATTTGTCTTGCCCTTTCGTAATTTGCCTGGCCCATCGTAATTTGCCTTGCCCTTCTTGCAGGGCGCTCTTGACCTCGGCTTGGGCCAGGTGATTGGAATGATGGGGAAGAAGCACAAAAAAAGCGCTGTGATGTGTGTTTTGCAGTTTATATCCTCCTTCAGATTGTACAGTCTGACCCCAAAACGGTTCTGCTTGAGTGCTGGCTTTCGGGAGTTACCTCCCGTGCTGTTCTCATTTGGGATTTCTGTCTCGTTTGCATCAAGCTCAAGATGAGCTCTTGGTGAAGGTGCCAGTGTGGGGACCAAAGACCGCACTTGGCTCTGCCTGGGGTTGCTCTGGGATTTGAGGAAAGTACTTTGCTTCTTCAGCTGTGAAAACGCTGTTGCAGGGCCCTTGTGCCAGTGAGAGCTTTTGGAGGGGTTGGTTAACCTGCGGCAGGACCGTAAGGTGCAAAAAGCTCTTACAAGGCTTGCAGCCTCAGGGGCAATGAGCTGCTTCAAATTTGGGCTGAGCACAAGTCACTGCCTGGTCTGTCATCCTGGCACTTGAGTGCTGGGAGATGAGGGATGTGAGAGGGTGTTTTTGTGAAGAGTTCATTTTAGCTGAAGTGCTGCAAAGAAGGAGATGGAGGAGAAGGGGATTTTGTCGGTTATGGGGCGGAAAAGGAAAGATATCTTGTGGGTTTGGGTCTCACCCTCCACTCTTTAATCACCATCCTTTTTCTGTCTCTCTGGGGAGCAAGGACAAAGGGAGAAGTCCAAGGTTTCCCAGAAAGGTAGTGGCTACCCCATCCTTGGAAGTGTCCAAGGCCATGTTGGACGGGGCTTGGAGCAACATGGCCTAGCAGGAGGTGTCCCTGCCCATGGCAGGGGGACTGGACAAGATGACCTTCAAAGGTCCTTTCCAAATCATTTGATGGTTCTGTGGGTTCTAAATGGGACAGCAGGTTGCTCTTACAGGCTTGCAAGTTTCTGGGCTCTCCTCAGTAGGTAGCACAGGACCTGAAAGATCTCAGTTAACTAAATGGGAATGGCACAGTCTTGTTCAAAGACTGTATGAGGTAGAGAAGCTTTTGTTTCCCGTAAGTGTCTCCACAGATAAAAAATTCTGCAGGCTGGGATGTGATAAATAAAGCCCTGATATCGAGCTGTGTGGGTGATAGTGGGTCAATACAGAAAATTTGATGTCTGAGTTAGGAAATCAGGCTTTCAGAAATCTGAATGAAAGGAGACTTGAGGATAATAATACTCGTGAAAGATTAAGCTGGGCTTGCAAACTTTTTAGTGTGGAAGAAAAGCCTCCTTTAGCTGCAGGTCTGTGCATCACATCCAGCGTGTGGGCAAACTGAGGCTTTTACAGCACTGCTGTCACCATGGGGTGCAGCAGGGTTTTTTCCCCCAAGGATCTGCAGGTCCTGTTGAAAGAGGCAGATTTGCAGGGGAAGGGTTTCTGTGTTCTGCCTGTAGTGCTTGTGAGAATCTGGTGTCCTAAAAATCCCTTTTTTTGAAATGGGTGTTGCTGTCTAAATGCTGAGTGAGTAACAGTGCAGGGAATTTGGGCAACGATAACCTGACTCTGCAGTCCTTAAAAGTGATTTGGTTCCCCAAACTGGGGTTTTTAGGGAGTTTTAATGCATTCTGCCAAATATTAGAAGTTGTTTTTTTCCAAGTGTCTGTTGCTTTTCCTTTTCCCTTGGGAGAGGGATTGAGCTCTGAGAGAGGATGCAGAGGCTGTAGAATTTGTCTCCTAACTTTCTAATGTTCGACTTTTTTGCACCACGATCTAGTGCCCTACAATGAATAGAAACCAATCAGGCTCTGCTTTGCTTTTCCTGTTAGGATGTTGCCTTGGTGAAGTCACTCTGAGCAGGTAGGACCTCCCGGCCAGCACACATGACTGATCTGCTCTGTCAATTAGCAAATTCAGCTGCTGGTAGAGTCCCTTAATAAGATATTTAGCAAGATCTCCCTTGGAGCTGATGTTGTACAGCTGCTCTGCCCGTCTGGCACTCATTGAGAAGATTCATAAACCTCATCTGGTGTCTCCGAAGTGGATATGAAGTTTCTACTCCGATTTCGTTTCCTCTTGCAGCCCCGCTCTTGTTGTGTTTTTCCACCCAGCTCACCATCCCTCTTCATCTGTGTTTTAATTAAATCTTTTCCTGCCCTGCTGCCGTGATCATGAACCTGCAGGAGCTGTGTTTCCAAGGAGTCACATCCCTTTAGCTGCAGGAGCTGGAGGTACCGACCTGCTCGGCACGATGGCTACGCAACCAAGATCAAACGCAGTGGGGGCTCTCCAAGGAGATGCTCATCACTGAGGCTCAGGCCATGTGTTTAATGTAAATAATTTGTTGTCCCAGAGGCCAGATTTCATCGTGTTAAAGACTATAAGGGAAAGGATTGTGCGTTCTCTGCTCGGCACAGGCTGCACCAACTCCGGGGGCAATGCCAGCCCTGGACAGGCAGAGGGGAAGCAGTCCCAGGGCTCAGACAGCAGTTTCAAGGGCTATGGGACTGATAAAGGCACAAAAGCAGCTCATTTATCCCCTTCTCCTTTTTCTTTTGCCTTTTTGCCTTGTATTCCCCCAAGGTCTCAAGCATTTTATGCGCTGAGGGCATTGTCACCTGGTAATACCTGGGGAATAACTGCATGACCTGGATACCAGCAAGGTAGCCCTCAGAAGGCAGCAGAAATACGGATTATTTTGGGGAGGGGCGGTGGAAAAAAAAAAGGGCTTCATTTATTTGGGGCTTTGAGATTGTTCTGCCAGCTCCTGCAGTGCCTATTGCCTGAACAATTATTTAGCTGTGTATTTATCATTACAGCAGCTTACTCATTTAACACAGGGAGCCTTCCCACTTCTCCCCTTATTTTAATCCTTACAGTCACATGTCAAAAGATTTTCTTCCCCCACTCCCCCCTTCCAACTGTGCATTAAAAATAGAAATAAATAAAAAAAAAAATTTCCCTGTGCAGCTGAGAAGGTCCTCTTTGTTTTTTTTAAGAGCGGGCCTGGCTCCCTGTGCCTGTCCCTGGATGTCATGTGCTTCAGCCCCGGGGGCTCTGCTGGCTCTCTGCTGCTTACCTGTAGTTCACCTTACTAGAACTGCATATTTTTCCCCTTCTAATTGTGACTGGGAAGCCAGTTTTGAGCTTGGTTTGAAGTCAGTCTCTGGAAAGGTGGGATAACGATACGGTGAGTGGAGTTTTGGAAGCTGATGAAGAGAGAGATCACCCAGTCCAGCTCCAGACTTCCTCTAAGGAACATGGAATTGGAGCTGAAATCATCATTTTCCCCCTCTGCCTTCCAGAATTTGCTTGCTCACTTGTGTCCAGATTCTGTGCTAACAGGGATGCAGTACAGAAGCTATAATTACAAACTTAATGCCTTCTTTTTTCTGCTCTCTTGGATTACATTAAAAATAGCATGTTGGGTCTTTCAGGACAGCAGCTCCTGTTTCTTCATCACCTTTGCAGTGAATATATTTGGACTTAATATTTCATAATATTTTTCCCCAAGAGAGGCTGTTACATTCCTCGTCTCAGACAGTGCTGCTGCCTGATGGGCAGGAAGCTGCAGTCATGCCAAGCATCTCGTTCGTGCATAGCAGGAGAGGCCTCTTGAATCCCTTGAGCTGTACCAAGGAGAGGGAGGAGATGTTTTGAGGAATAAAGTATAGATCTGGGATAGAAGGAATGCGAGGAGACAGTTGAATAACTGGTTTTCCCCGTCACACAGATGACACCGTTGCAGGAAAAGGGGGAAAAAAAAAAAAAAAAAAGGCAGATTTCGAGACGAAGCAACGCTTAATGCTGATTTATTCATTGCTTTGCAGGTTTGAAACTTTTGAAGTGAATAGCTTCGAACAGTTTTGTATCAACTACGCCAACGAAAAGCTCCAGCAGCAGTTCAACTTGGTAAGGTCAGCTTGGGTGTGTTCCACAGAACTTAGCAGAAAATGTAACAAGGCAAGATTGTTGTATGCCTGGCTTCTGTTTAATGGCATTCACCTGCAGCATGGCAGGTGATCATGTGGCCAGTATGAATGCAGCCCCTGGGATACCTTTCTCCCAGGCATTGCATTGAAAGGGCACTAAATATTGCCATCAAGTTGAAAAATGTTGCTCCGTTGATGTATAAGCTTGATGCTGGAAATAGGCTTTATGTTTTATGCAAAGGATCACTAGGGTTTTGAGCAAGCATATAATTTGCCTTTCCCTTGGTGTAGTTTCAGTCCTAAGGCAAAATCTGGATGGTCTTGTGCCAGGTCCTGATTTCCAGTGTAAGCTAAAGTATGGGTGTGGAAACCTGCCCATTAAGTGTGGCTTAAACCTGTGAAATGAAAACTGTGTATTAAATAGCAGGATTGGACACACTCCCCACTTTTTTTCACTTGGACATGCCTCACAAAACCCAGAGATTTTCCTGTTTTATTAGTAACAAGTGCTTGCCTGCACTGGAAATGAAACCAGTAAGGGGGTTATTTTCTGCTTTGGTTGTAGGTAGGGAAGAAATTACTATCAGTTTCAGGACGCAAGGGAAAACTTGTTAAATTTGATCAGCTAAGTACTGCAGATTAGTTTGGCCCTTTGAAACCACATCATATGCATGGCCATGAACATTTGCAGTCTATCTGAGGCATCAGATAGATCACCGCTGCTAAAAATGAAAAGTAAATTATGGATTGTATTTGCACTATTCATATCTTACTTGGTATGTCGAGCTATCACTTCTGAAGCTTATAAATTCAAACTCCGAAATGACATGTTTGAAGAGATTTAAAAAACCTATCTTTGAAGGGAAAAAAGTGCATTTGAAAAATCATTTTTTAATATGCTTTAGAGTATCTCAGAAATATCCAGAGACAATTTATCTGCTTGGGCAGAGGTCTGAGATACATAAGCCACGCAGAGGCTTTTTTTTTTTTTTTTTAAATTTTTATTATACATTTTTTTAAATAAGAAGCTTCCATAGAAGTGTCCCTGATTTGGTCAGATGCTGCTGCTGATATCCCTTCTAGGATGATGGGTGCTCTTTGTGAAGCAGATGGGGGGGGGGGGGCACACTCTCAGCCCTGGCTGAGCTCCTGCTGCAGGTCACTGCTTTAATCAGCAGAGCAATAAAGGAGAGGGGGATTTTTGTCAGCCCAAGAGATATATGTGTCATTGCCACTTCAATATGTGGCTTCCACCTCAATGTAGTGACAGCTTCAGTCATTTTCCGGGGAAAGTCGTTTACAGCCTTATTTTCCCCTGCCCCGTGGTTTCCTATTGTAATGCTTTTATTTTCCTTGCCAGAAGCTAAATTGTGTAAATGGCAGAGCCTGCACAGACTGAATGGGAGGGCACCTAAAGCCTCTGTGGCTTCTGGATGTTCTGATGGAATGCTGCACTCCGGTGGGGACGGCGGGGGGGATGTGGAAGGGGCTGGCTGGGGCCACGGCCAGTAACTCCACTGCTCTTCCACTCTCAGCACGTGTTTAAACTGGAACAAGAAGAGTACATGAAGGAGGGAATCCCTTGGACTCTCATAGATTTCCACGATAACCAGCCCTGCATAGACCTGATAGAGGCCAAACTTGGGATCCTGGACCTGCTGGATGAAGAGTGCAAGGTAAAGAGTGTTTTTTCTGAGTGTTTTTCCTTGGCAGGTGTTTGCTACCAGCCTGGTACCTGATCTCACCCTGTGCTGCCAGTGCTTGTGTTTCTGACCTGACTGTACTTAGCAATAGCCATTGCTCCAGACTTGATTGCTTTGGTGTTATCCAGGAGCCTGGAGTTCCTCCCTGTCTCAAGCCTTATTTTGTCTCAAGGGAAATCCGAGTCCTCTTGCAGTAGCTATTTGGGGTAAAGCTGATTGCATTCAGTGCACAGACTTCAGAGACTTGTAACGTTGCAGAGCAGTTTGCACTCTCTCTCATGCTGGCCAAAATTAAATCTTGCTTACAAGTTAAGAAAGGCCAGAATGGCAAACCTTCATGAGAACCCATAAGAAAGGTTGGACTCCTTTTTCACTCCCTGTTCAGTCATGAATTACCAAATATACCTAGGAACAAGGATTGTCAGATGGGAGATTTTTTTTTTTGAGAAGGTGGGATGCCTGTTTTGAAGGTCTTTGATGCTGAAGACCTCCTGCTGGAAGGGGATGGGAACAGCCTTCCTGCTGGATGTACCTGCCCTGAGGAGCCTCGCACTGGTTTTGCTGTGGTGGGATCCAGCAAGTTGTCCTTGGGAAGAGTTTCCGTTGACGCTTGGATGCATTCTGTGACTGGAAATGTCTTGCTGGTTGTGGAGGGTATTTGAGCATTTTTGAACAAAGGCAGGGAGGAATGAGACAAAGGGTGGTGAGAGAGCTGAAGTAGGGAGGGGCCCCGGCCAGGATAGCCGAGGTGATAAGAAGGACACAAGGAATTCCTGTTGACTCTGTGGGATCCATGAGTAGAGGACAGGAATGTCATGTTGCATCAGAAGGAGAGGTTTTGGATCAGTTATTTAGACTAATGCCCCTGCTGGGATGGATTTAAGGAGATGTATGACCTGTCCTTACCTGGGAAGGGGGTGACCTGTCAAGTGTTTGCTCTCCTCCAGGCGGCAGGGCTGCCTTCCCAGGCACGATGGGGCTGTCCCAACCTGCACATCCCTAGCTCAGCTGGGGTACAAACACTTCATCTATCTCCTTGTGATGAGCCAGAGTTGGGGCTTCAGCTTTTCAAATCCTCCCTCAGGAAGACTCCTTAAAAATGAGAACAAATTAAACTGAATTTGATGTCCTTAAAAATAGCATCTCAGCCAGTGCTGGCTCGGAAGGAGGCCAGAGTGTTTGCTTAATATTCAGTACCATTTCTTCTGGTCTCTGTGCTATTAGGCCTGTTGAATTTTTCAGTATCAAACTGTCTCCTAGATAACTTTGAGGACCTTAAATGAAATTTCCCTTGTGTCTTGTTGGGAGTAACACCCTGGGCTCCTCTCTGGGGCACATGGCACTGGTTGCTGCTGGTGGCATTGCATTAGACAGAGCAACTCCCATGCACCACCAGTAATGTGGGCAACTTTGCTGCAGATTTGCCTGGTACTGCTTTATTATTCTGTGCTTAATTTTTTACCAAAAAGAAAAAGAAACACAAGATCTATTCTCCCCTTCCCCCTCATAAAACGCCAATTATCTGGTTATTTACCTGTCAGTGGGGGATGCTGTCGTTAGTCAGAGGCCCTTATTATAGGCCCTGTAATCACCTCTTTTATAATAACCTGTAAGTGTTCTCCAGCTTTATGAAAATTTCAGCAAAACCTGTCAACTGAAAGCACCAGTTTATGGATGAAAACCTTTACCCCCAAGGAAGTGTTTCGCCTCTCAGGGTGGGATCACAATAGGGTAATTGCACATCACCTCATTAGGACCTACGGTGGTGGATAAATGTACTGTGGGACTTGAAAGGGCATCTAGGGGATCCTGGCTACGTAATGACGCCCTAGAACAAATGCAGAGGGTTTGTCACTAGTGTTCTTGCTTCACAGTATGGATTTTTTTTCTACTCTTTGGTGTGTGGATGGGGAGGAGGTGGCTGGGAACGTGCTAAAGCAGTTCAGCTAGTGAAAGTCATATGAGACCTTCTTGTCCCTGTTTAGGGTAAAAATGAAACAGGAATCAGCAATGAAAGAGAGGACTCTTGAGCTGAGATTGGAGTGTTAAGGACTAAGCCTATCTCATTAAAGCAAATGAGAAAACCCTTAGTTCTTAAAAAAGATTGTTAAGGTTGGAGGTGGCTTCTGGAGCTCATTTGGTCCTACCTCCAGTTATGCCCTTGGTCTGCCCAGGAATCCTTAAAATCTCCATGGACTGTGACCTATGTCCTCTGCTAAGTGATTGGTGGAGTTCTTGAAGGGACTTTTCCCTGTTTCCTCCACTGGAGTTTCATCTCCCCGGAACTTTTGGAACCTCTTGGTTTTTGCTTTGGCCTAAAAAAAAGGGTCAGAGGAACAGCAAGGGTTCACGTCCCATGCACCGTGACGGTGTGATGTTGAAGTGCTCAGGCACAAACTGATGAGCCTGATGTAGGGATGGGAAAGGTCAGAAGGACATCCAGGAGAACCTCCCTGGGGAGAGCTGCGAAGTGTGCGTGGAGTCACCGTGGGACAAAGTGAGGTGATGGGAAGTAATTTGGGATAAGAGCAAAGTCCTTGAAGAGAGCAAGGAGATGAATGTAGAGCCTATCAGAAGAAATGAGCATGAAGGAGAGAGGCTGTCTTCTGAAAATCCAGCTGTGAGAGGGTTGCTTGGATGTCTGAAATGCATTTAGGTTACGGTTGCACTTGTTGTGAAGGAAATTACCTCGGTGGAGGGGGCAACACACTTCTTAGGGAGACTTTAAAGGTTTTGAGGTTTGAGGGGATGTGTGAAGAGTGACTTTCAGTCTCTGGAGAGGTGCAACCAGCTGGGGTTGGCTTTTCAAGAGACTTAAATTACCCTTAGAGAAAACGGAAAACTCTCTGAGAAACGCAGTCAGGTCTCTGTGTCAAAACTGGATGAGCTGTCCTGCTTTTCAGGCTGAAACTGCTTCCCCTGTGGGAGTGCTGCTTGTCTTCCATGTGCTTCCCAAGTGCCTTGGACATGGCTTTCAGGGGCACAGTGTGATTCTTGGGTCCTTTGCAGGGCCAGGAGTTGGACTTGATGATCCTTGTGGGTCCTTTGCGACTCAGGACATTCTGTGATTCTCTTTGGGAGTACAGTCAGAGATTGCTCTGGATGCCCCAAGTTTCTCCATAAGGTGCCATTGCTCTGGATGCCCAAGTTTCTCCGTAAGATGTCCTGCAGCCTCTCTGCTTTAATGCTTTTGCCTGTGCTGTTGAGATGGGAGTGCGGATGAAAAAGTTAATGAAAAAAACCCCTGTCCATTAGCATGAAAGGCATTGAAAAGGGTTCAGTCAAGAACAGGCTGTTTGGAGGGGTTCATGTGTCAATTGCAGAACTGTTGTCCAAGATTTGTTAGGGATCTCGGTGAAATCCTTTCTGCTGAGGAGCAGCCTGACCCCGAGGCTGCCAAAGGGGGATGTTTCGCACCAAACCCAGAGACTCCCTCATGTTCTTAAGCTCTTTCGTGGCTCCGTTTTGTGTTTTATGGCACATTGCCATCATGTTATGCTGTTAATGTGCCAAATGCATTTTCTAATGTTGCTCAAAGGATGCTCTTTAACCTTTCCTGTGTCCTTCTGTCAAGTGCCAGAAACACTGAAGTCTGTTTCTGGCTGACTGGTTTTCAATCCCGCTTGTCTCCGCGCATTGCCGTGAACTTGGGTATCTGAGCAAATGTGTTTTCCTTGTCTGGACTCGTTAGTTTTTTGAGCATCAGAAACGAGCACATCGCCTTCCTGTGCTGCCCTGGCCTGTCCGGGGGGATTTCTGCTCCACGAGCAGAGGTTGGACCTCTGGGCCTTCCTTTCGGGCGGGCCGCCCGATCCGATGGCAGAACAACCTCCCCTATGTTGTGCTGTCAGCTTTGATGACTTTAAAGCCAGGCACGTCACTTGCACAGGAACGTGTCTCTGGAGCTCAGAGGAAGCCCAGGCTCTTTTCGGGCTTTGACTTGTATTGGAGTTAAGGGCAGAAGAAATAATATGTAAATGGCTTTCCGAGGGTTCACTTTTAGGTTGTTAGGTTCGAATCGTAGAATCCCGGAATGGTTTGGGTTGGAAGGGACCTTGAAGACCACCTCTTTCCACCCCCCTGCCGTGGTTGACTGGACCAGGTTGCTTCAAACCCTGTCCAACGTGACCTTGAACACTCCCAGGGATCCAGGGGCAGCCACAGCCTCTCTGCCCTGTGCCAGGGCCTCACCACTCTCACAGCCAACAATTCCTTCCCAATATCCCATCTAAATCTACCCTCCTTCAGGTTAAAGCCAGTGACCTTTGTTATTTTTTTCCTTTTGACTGTCCTCCTGTTGGAGGTGATGATAGAAGGAATCTCAGCCTTTAGTCCAGGCAGCTCCTCAGCTGGCTGGTGATCTTGTTGGGTTCTTGATCCTGGGGTGCAAAAAGGGGAAAATTGAGCCTGTGGGGTGCCCCTGGCCATGCTGGGTGGGATTGATTTCGGTTGCAGCAGCTCCTGGCAGCTCAGAGGACAGTGCATGGAGGAATTACACACCAATTTTGTGCGGAGTGACAGAGGCACGATAAGGAGGACGAGCAGTAAGCAGTGACCTTGCGCGCTGTTGCTGGTATAAGTTTTACCTCGTTTTAAAGATTCCGTACAAAACTTGCAAGGCAGTCGCTTTTCGTCTTCCCCAGCCCCTGAAAAAGAGATGAGATAGTCTCTAAATAACTTTCTCAGTGGCTCTAAAGGTCTTAAGCTGCCAAGCTAATACCAAAAGCTGTTATAATAGTGCAGATAATGGCCCTGTTAGTTTTTATCTCTGGAACTTGGTCCCGATCAGGTGCTCCTCCAGGCAGCTAAAAATACCCTGGCTGCAGGACAGTGAGCAGGGTATGGCAAAACCCTCTTTTTGGGAGGCAGGAGCGAGGCCTTTGAAGTTCAGCTCTGAGATAAGCAGGTTTTTCAGCAAAGTGGATGGCCTAGAAGAGAGCTGGTGCAGGGTAAATCTGCTCTCTGCAGCATCCCATGGCTCAGGTGCCCCTGCTCTGCACCTGTGGCTTAGTCCTGAGCAGGAGGCACCTAATGATAGCTCCAGAAAGAGTGTCTTTTACATATAAATATTAAACATAACTGGTGAAAAGAAACCCATCTGCATTTATATAACTCTGTAGTTTAAACATGCAAGTCCATCTTGCGTAAATAAAACATGTATATGATTGCATAACTAAGTGCCTTTTTAATATTTACATGTACTCTCTGTTATTTCTATGCATATCCATAATTGGCTACACTTAAAACCTGTGAAATATAAATAAATCTGGGGTAGCATGACATGCATGACTGGCTGCTGCATTTAATTCACCCCCGTTACGGGGATAGGCAGGAGATGGTTATCCCAGTGTCCAGAGCCCTTCTGGTGTGTTTTGGTTTGCTGCCATGAAATCAAAGGCTGCTTCAGAGCAGCACTGAGAAATATTCCTCATCTGTCTGGAATTTTCCTTCTCACTGTTTACTGCCCCTACTTCCACTGTCCTTTTTCTTATAAAGGTCTATGTAAAGTCCTGATGGATGATCCAGAGCTCTCCCTGGTGCTGCACAGTTGTTCTGTGGTTTCTGGGCTTTTGTACCCTCTAATTTCAAGTCTTGCCTAACGCTTCTCTTCCAGCTCTTCTCTTTTCCTAACCTCAATTATCTAGGCGGTCATTTTTTTCGTTAAAAATTATGGATTGATGTGCAGCTGTTCCTGTCCTACTGGCAGTGATCCGTGGGATGGGGAGGAACCCCGTCAGCTGTGGCTCTCAGCCCTCAAGAGTAACAATTTCACTCCTTGTTTCCTTTGATTTTCAAGGATTTTGTTTTGTGTCAAGCTCGTTGGGTTAGAAAAATACAAAATAAAATATGCGTACGGCTAGGTGCTTTCCTCAAATGCCGTTATGTTTTTTGGAAAGTTTTGGGGGTTTTGGCTGGTTAACTGAGAAGGATCTAACTGTCTCTGTGAAAATTACTCTTTATGGGAAGTGTAATTATGTATTTGATATTTATTAAATATTAAATTACAGCATATTTTTATGTGCTGCTATACAGCATATGTGCTTAGAAAATAATGAGACAAAACACAGTTTCTTGATAGTATATTGCATTAACTTTATTTAACCATTATTTAGTGGGTAAAAACTGCAGGTGCTGGATGTGTGGGAAGGGGGCACGGGAATCGTTTGGCTGCGGCAGGACAAGTCTTTGGGTCTGAAGTCCCAACCCTGTGTGTAACTGGGGTTAAAACATCATGGGATTGGAATCCAAGTGATCCCAAAGTGGCAGAGATTTCTTAAGACTTATAATGTTACTATTATTTAATTTTAATATCTAAGAATTATTATTGTACTGCCATTATTATTTTAAATGAGATAAACCAGAACTTCCTGCCTGTTTTCTAAGACGGCAGTTTCTGGAAATATTTGTTCACCAAAAATAGCACTAAAAAAATAATGCTGGTGCCCGAGTCACTAATGCAACTTAAGTGTAAAAATACCTCCTTAATATTTGGGATTTTTTTTCTTTCCTGTAGGAGCAATTCTGTATGTTGGAACAGAACTGGCATTTGGGTGTTTTTCACTGGCAATTAAATTCTAGTGTGTTTGTCAGGAATATACCAGAAAATAGAGCAGCACACGGTCCTAGAACTGGTCCATCTTCCCCCCCTTGCAGGTTCCCAAGGGCACTGACCAGAACTGGGCACAGAAGCTGTACGACCGCCACGGCTCCAGCGAGTTCTTCCAGAAGCCCCGCATGTCCAACACCTCCTTCATCATCGTGCACTTCGCTGATAAGGTACCTGGGGCTGGAAACTGCGAGTGTCGGTGAGGCACAGTGCAGGGAGGAGGTGAGAGGTGATCCTGGGCTGATCCCACCTTTGTGAGGGAGAAGATGCCAACAGCGGGACTGAAATAAACTAAATCCCAGTGTCTGGAGCTGCAGGGACATGTCCATGTGCTCCAACTTCATCAAAACCCTGATGTGACAGATGCCACTCACAGCAAATGAGAATCTCAAACGCTTGTGGTTATCCCAAAGGCCCATTTGTTGGGGGAAAAAAAAAAAAAAAAAAAAAGACCAGGGACGTGTCTGAGGAGCCAGACAACAAGCAGGTGCTTTGCTGCTGTACATGTGCTTCTCCCAACCAGGTTTGCCCCGGATGTGAGAGGCACTTTTTGTGGCAAAGGTTGGTACTCATCTTTCCTTAGGCAAGTGATTTTGCACTTGTATCCCTCACAATCAATATCTCTCTGTAAGTTTTACCTTTTTTTTTCTTTTTTCTTTTCTTTTCTTTTCTTTTTTTTTTTTTTTTTTTTTTATGGTCGCTTATTTCAGCCAACTTCAAATGTAAAAAATGAAATTTTCTTCTGTCCTCCCTAAAGTGTGCTTTTAAAAAATGTTTTTCTAAGTTCCTTTGCATCCCAGCCCTCTGCAGTTTCAAAAACTCAGAGAGACCTACAAGAGACGTAACCGCAACATCATTTGAGGTTTATTGATTAGCTCACAAGAAGATGAGGAATGAACAAAAGACCGTGTAGAGTTACTGATGAACTTTGCATTTTTTCCACTCTGGTTTCCATACAGAGACTAAGAAACAGCCTGTGTTTGCAGCGAGGATTTTGCTTTCATTCGGATTCACTTCTTCTGATTAAAAAGTGATGTTTAGATTCCTCTTGTTCTCCTCTCTGCCCTTCTCAGGTTTTTCGGGTGAGCTCCTGACAGCGGGGGAGAGGTGGGAGCGCCTTGTCCCCGTGTGGTTTGACTTTACCCTCTGAGATTTCTTTTGTCTCCATCGCTAGGTGGAATACCAGAGTGAGGGATTCCTGGAGAAGAACCGGGACACCGTGTACGAGGAGCAGATCAGCATCCTGAGAGCCAGCAAGGTAAAAGCAGTAAATCGTGGCAGTGGTCCTGGTTGTATGTGTTCTTTCACCCTGGTATTGGTGTCCTGTCATCACAAAAAATCGTTTCCAAACCTACTGATCCTCTTCTTTTTCGGTCACCAAGAGCTAAAATTAGGAACAGATAAGTTACTGGGTGTTGTAAATCCCGCTTAACTCTTGCTTGGAGCTCCCCACTTGTCAACTGGCACTGAAGGTGCTATTATAGAGCCACAGAATGGTTTGGATTGGAAGGGACCTTAGAGATCATCTTTGTTCTAACCCCCTGCTGTGAGCCAGGATACCTTCCACTGGACTAGGTTGCTCAAAAGCAAGGTGATCCTGGGGTTAAAAGCCATGATCAACACTGTTGTCTGTATATTGTGGGTAGCTTTGACGACCCTGTCACCCTCCTGTATGAAAACTGCTGTTTATTTTAGCTGTCGTCCATCATACATATCCCTGTGTTTTCTAATTACTTTAATGATGAGTATGCAAAAAATAGGGTTCGTACAAAATGCTGGAAACGTTGCCCAAACTCTTGAGATGTCCCAGCTGCTGTGGAGCTGTTTCACACCCCTGCCAATATACAGTTTTAACAAATTAACTCATACTGATGATCATCACGCTGCCAATTCCCGTGTGACAAGATTTCGTGCCTTGTGCCTTTCTTCTCTCAGGTGTTGTGCAAACAGCTTGCCAACATCTCACTGCTTCAGGTGCCAACAGGGACGTATTGACTGACTTTGACTACCAGGTCTTTCTGGTAAAGAGCATTTTGGCTCTCAGTGTTTAGAATCTCCAGCAGTTCTGCGGGGATGTTGGAAGCAGAAGAGCAGGAGCTGTGGGGCTCTGCAGGCTTTAGTGTGGGTCTTGCCTGCAGTGAAAGGGCATTTGGCAATGGGCTTCAGGTTGGACACTTGACAGTTCTGTGTATAAATTGAGCAGATTTTACGCTGACTTCCAGTACCACACTCTTCCCTCCATGGGCACTTGGGTGGTTTGGGTTAAAGGTGTCAAACAGCACAGACATCTAAGGAATTTCAAATACTTACTGTTTTAAAACCAGACCAGAAGTTCTTCCCTGCAGCCTTGAGTCTTTCATTGTCAATTAATGAGATGAAGCTTCGTAGACAGCCTCATCCCTTCCAGGGGGCAGCTTTTATTAGGGAGTCGGTATGAAAATCCGGCCCTGCAAAGTCCAGCACCTGCATCCTGCATCCAAAATCAAGGCTGCATGACTTTGGGGTGCCAAACCTTGTGTGTGGTTTAAGGAAGGAACACATCTGCTTTTCTACAAAACATTTCAAAGCCTTCCACAGCACAGGCCAGTATGTTAAATTGGGTTTGGGATTTTTTTTTTGCATGACGGAATTTGGACCTCGCTGCGTGTTGCAAGCAAACATGTCACAAGTCCAGGCTTCTCTTTGTGTCACCCTCCCTTGGGTTTAACTTCTGGCTGTCACCTTCCAAAGGGCACCCTAAAAAAGGAGTGGGATGAGGGGAGATGGAGGAAATAGTGGTTTTAGGAGCATTTTAAGCAGGAGCTTGTTCCTGTCAAAGCTCAGAGATGAGGATGGGAAATTATTTGACTGTTGTCAGTGGCTTGTCCTGTGTCCCCACCAGGAATTCATGTGAAGATGACAGGATGAGCAAATTTCTCATCCGTGGGGGTAGTTGTGAGACAAATAACCGTGAAACCGAACATTAATAATGCCCAAATCAAGAGCTCTGCATGTTCAGGAAGCTTCCCAGGGCAAAATCTGGACATGATTAGAGCTTATTAGAAATGCCAGGTAGCCTCCAGGAATAATTGATGCTGTATGATGAATTATTTAGCCAGTGCTGAACTTGCTGTTGAAGTCAGTGGTGCAGAACTGGCAGTGTCTGGCAGGGATTTCTGTTTGACTTGGTTGCAGAGGAGAGATGTAACCCCTTGCTGGAGAGTGCTGGGGACCCTGGAACTCCTTCTGCAAAAATAAGAGATTTTTTAAAAAGGGTTAAATAGGTCTCTCTGTCATATATAGGGACTATAATACAATACCAGAGCAGGCTTGACTTACATTTAATACCTAAAAAATCAACCAAACCCTGCTCCTTGCAACTGGTTTGCTTGACCTAAAAAAACCCGAACAAATCAAACCCTAAAAAAATTAATGGTGAATGTCTTAGGACCAAAGATGTGAGTTTACCTGTCCTGCAAACTAGGGTAATGCTCCTTTGGGATCAGGTGTTTGGACCCTGTGGCTTCATGGTGGTGGCTTTGTAGGCGACACCAACATCTGCATTTGTGATCACAGAAGCACGGAATGGTTTGGGTTGGAAGGGACCTTAAACACTATCTGGACCTTAAACACACTGGTCCCACCCCCTGCCATGGTCAGGGACACCTTCCACTAGCCCAGGTGGGCTTGTCCAACCTGGCCTTGGACACTCCCAGGGATGGGGCAGCCACAGCTTCTCTCATCAGCACAAAACACTCTCAAACGCACTTGGCTCTGAGAACATTTGGGAGACAGCTTGAAGAATTTCTGCCTTTAAGCCTTTTCTTTAGTGACATGGAGGCAGTGACTGTTATCAACCTGTGCTGATGCTGTGCTGTCCTGGGAAGAAGAGCAGCAGGAACATCCTCACCTTCTTCCTGAAAAGCCTCTAAAACCTGATGATCTGCTCTTGATTTCCCTAACCCCTGTTTGCCAGCAGATTGTGTTATCCTGGGGTGTGGTTTTTTTGCCTCTTGCTTGCCATGTGCCTTTTCCAGGGCTATAAACTAATAAAACCAATTTTCTTTTGCTGTGAAAAAGCAACCTGGTCTCTCTGAACCAAAGAGAGTAGCAGTGGCGGTGCCGAGTCTGCTGCTTAGATGTGCTAGTTCGGCTAAAACTTAAATTTGTGCTGCAAAAGGCTGTGATGTGAGGACTTTGTCCTGTCCTGAGGACCAGACCTGCATACAGTATTCACTGCTCTCTTCTTTGTACTCCCACCAAAGCGATGAGGAGGGCAAGGGAGAGCCCTCAGTTTAACACAGCAAGGACCTAAACACCTCTCCACCAACAACCACATCGCTGACGAAGCACTCCCACCAAGGCAGAACTGCCTTCTGCTAATTAGAATGCAATTAATGCCATCAACAGGACAGTGAACGAGACTTCATAAAGCAGCTAATTAGTTCTGTTAGCACTGGTCAGCTAAAACAGTTGGGAGTTGATGTTCTTTGAATTAAGGAAACTGATTTGAATACTGATGGAGGGGAGAGCATACAGGCATGCTACACAGGTATTATGCTCCAGTTCCTTTGTAATTACGAATAATGCACTGATGGTTTCGACTCTGCCAGTTGGGAAGGAGGGATCTGTCCTTCTTACTTATCCCTCAGCACCTGTACAACAGCTGTCAAGATGTCTTTTTTGGGGGGATAGAGTGTCAGGCAAAGAAGGTGAGAGCCTTTATTCTAGTAGGAGTTGAGTGAGCCCCAGAGATAAAAATAAAAAACTGTGAGTATGAAGCAGATCCTTAGCAGGCACTGTCCTGGAGCCCAAGATGTGAAAATTTAACATTCATGCTAACCAGGCCAGATTGAAGATGGCTTGCTTAATATTCAAGTTCCCCAGTCTAGTGCAGATTTGAATGTCCTGCTCCTTAAATAATAATAATTAGAAAAGGACATTAGGTGCATTTGCCAGCTCACCTGTTCTCCCGTCTGTGAGGAGGAAACATTGCTGCTGGCTTGCCAGAAATCCCAGACTTTGGGGATCTGAGGAGCCAAATGTGGTGCCTCCAGGGCCGTGGAATGGCAGTCCTGCCGCCGCCTTGCTTGTTCAGCTGACAGGCAGGTAATTAGTGAGGGAGTGCTGGTGTCTCTTTAATTGTTAGAGAAGCAAGGGTGACTCTGGGGCTGTGGTGGGACCTTCTCACATGGAGACTCCTGTTCCTGGGGTGTGTGGTGTTCAGGCAGCATCCTTGATGTGGCCAGGACTGGATGAGTATTTTGAAACCAAGCCCTGGGAGTGAGGCACCTCACACGCAGGAGGTTTTGTGGGACGAGACTTCAGCCTCCTTGTTTTTGCACATTCAAGGTCTGATGAACTATGAGACAGAATGGTCTCGTGGTCCTGATGTGGGTTATGTACACAATGCTTCACTTTTCTTGCCCTTTTTCCCCCTCCACTTTTAAGATGGGTAAAAAAATGACCCGAGCAGTGTGGCTTGGGTGGGCTCATTCCCCAGTGGGCAGGGCCAGAGTAGCTCAAGTGTTGTCGTTTGTTCCAGTATCCAATGGTGGCAGAATTATTCCACGAAGAGAAGGGTGCTGTGCCCGCCACTTCCGTGGGAAAGGGAACATCCAAAATCAGCGTCCGTTCTGCCAGGCCAGCCATCAAAGCTGCCAACAAGGAGCACAAGAAAACAGTGGGACATCAGGTAATGCATGATTTGAGTGAGTCAGCCAACAACAGGAGAATCCAGTGAAGATTTTGTTGCTTCAGTTTGAATCAGAGAGAAATAAAAAGCTTTTGGGGATGGGAAGACACTTTCCCATGGCCCATGTTTGGCTCTTGCCGGACATGGATGACTTCTAGCAGTGTCTCTGGATGAGGAGGCTTGAGTAGTCTTGATTGGAAGTAGCTGAGAGGTTTAAGGAGGGTGGAGCCACTCTAGGATTCACTGGAACGTGTCCCATTGTACTGTGGAACTCATAAATTGAAACAACCTCAGAAAAAAGAGCATTTTTCCCCTTGTATGGACAGTCAGACAGTGCAACAAGAGCCCAGAGAGGTTGTGCCGTCTCCACCCTTGGAGATATTTCAGAGACCCAACTGTGTAGAGTCCTGAGCAACCACTTGTTGCTCAGGAACCTTAAAGCTGGAAGTTCTCAACCCATCAGTGCCTTCTCTGAGCTTCCCCTGCACGTGCTGGGCAGGCGGGGAGGTTCACGCTGTGTCACATCCAGGGGCTGTCGCCCCAGGTGCCTTGTGGCAGCTGCCAGCTTGGGCTGCAGGGCTGCAGCACCTGCCTCCCTCCTCAAAATGAGCGGCTTTCTCTTCCAGTTCCGCAATTCCCTGCATTTGCTGATGGAGACCCTGAATGCCACCACTCCGCACTACGTGCGCTGCATCAAACCCAACGACGAGAAGCTGCCCTTTAAGTAAGTGGGATGTTCAGCTTTAGAGCAACAGAGTGTGCTTTTGGACCTCTGCTAGGGACATTGCACCCTCCTTGTAATGTTGTCCCTGTAACTGGAAGGTCCGTATATGTTGCTGGAGTCACTTTTTTTTGGGGGGGTTTCATTACGTGCTTTTTGTGCCTGTGTGAAATGAAGACTAATTTGGGTTATAGTAACTCATAGTTATACTCTTCTAATGATACTGAGCAGCCTTACTTTGCAGTAATAGGGTCTTTGTGCAATTTCTTCTTAGACTTGCTTTGATTTAAATAGCTGCAGTTCCAAACCGTGAAAAGATGAGGAAATGAAAACGTGGAGAAAAGTAGTGGGCTGGTAAAATGAGCAAAAATGTCTTGGTGCTTCCAAAATAAATTGCAGAAAAAGTAAAGATGTGACTTGTGTCAACTTCAGGCAGGTTTCCAGGTGAGTGAACAGCTGAAACAAAAAGCCAGTCTCGATCTTCCTCTGTAGATCAGAGATGTATTGCAGGCGGCAAACTCTGTGAGAGCAGAGAGCTGTTAGCCTTGCTTGACCTCTTGGTCGTGTCTTTGTACCCAGTTTTGTTCCCTTCAGCTCCAAAAAATCTTGTCTGTTAGTATGTAGGCACCTCATAGATCATGCTTTGATGTCCTCGAAAGGCATAAACTGCAGGTGGTGACCTTTAGGAAAGCAGGTTAACCCCATCAGCTGGGAGGCTGATCCAGCACAGGCTGAGGGCTCCCAGTGGGCACAGTGCAACTTCAGGGTGCAGAGACAGCTCCAACAGTGTCCTGAAAGGAGGGTGAAGCACCTGCAATCAGGCTCACCCTTGGTCACAATGCGCTGGTGGAGATGTATCCACTGGGAAGCTTCCTGGCTTGACTCTTCTCCCCCTGCAAACAGCAAAGTGAAGGGTATTAATGGTTAGAAGACATTCAGACACTGGTTTATATTTGACTGATTCCTTAGATGATTAGCTGTAAGCTCTGAAGAAGGCTGTGTTGGCTTCTGTACTCTTGTTGTACCTGCCATAGCAAGGAAAAGAGTTTTTAATAGTGTGTATAGTCCCACTTTGAAGCTCTTTGTTTCAGGGTTAGCCCATAGCTGGAGTTGGTGCAGATAGATGACTGCAGCCTCTCCTGTTACTGCATTTCACCTGCTCTGAGCAGGGTTTGTCTGCTTTGGAGAGAGTTTTCCCTTGTGTACAACAGAGATTGCCCTGCGATCTTCCAGGTCTGAAGCTTCCCCGTCGATCTGCCAGTCCTGTTTATTATTTATTGTTTATGGAAATTGTACCCTTGTGGGTTCTTCCTTGAAGTGAGTGACAGCCCAGACTTGATTTTTCACCCTGCCTAGTGTTTGTGGTGTTGCAGTGAATAACTTGCTGGTAGTCTTGACAGGTTCAGGGAATTTAAAAAAAGCCCAGAGAAGAGGGGAAGCATTTTCCATTCTGCTTCTGTACAGCAGAGACCAGGCAGAATTATTCATGTAATCTTGACTTGGCAGGTGTAAATATTTTGGGCTTTCAGGAGGAGACAAGCAGATACCTGAGAAGCTTTTGGCTGGAAGTTGTCATGAAGTTTTTTGGCGCAAATTGCTGATGGAAATGAGATGCCAATGAGTAGTAAGGGATGATGCCAGCTAAAAAAGAGGAGGGCAGAAACCCCTTGCATTAGTCAGGAACCCCTTGATGTTAGTCAGGAGCACGAGCATCACTGTTCTTGGTAAATGTAGTCTGTAAATCTGTGGTTTGATATGGAGTTGAATATATCATACTTATTTTGCTGTTGAATTTGATTTCTGGACTTTAAAACCGCAGAAGTAGTACTGTCTGGTTCATCAGGCAGCTTGAGGTGGGGTAGCCTTTCCCTTCTGTATTATAATTGTGTTGCTTTACAAAGCTGGGTAGATTATGGCTGCAGGGACTAATTAATTGCAGCAGATTGTCATCTTATCCCAAGAAAACCGCTAGGGATTGATGGCAGGGTGGTAGCAAAGCCTGTTGCACTTGAAAAGTACAACAACTTGTGACATGGGGAGGAAATGTGTGACATCTGTGCAGCGTGTTCCCAAAGCAAGGCATGGGTCATCCTGAGGCTTGTGAGGGAATGGCTATGGACTAAAAAGTACGGAAGATGGTTTTATTCAACCCCTACTCTGACGACAAGAGCAGAAGATAATTCCTGTCTCTGCGAGAGTCGCTGTCTGGTGGGCTGAAAGTGTGGGTTCCTTTTCACTGTGTTAGTCCCCATCCTAAATATAATTGCAGATTTGATCCGAAGAGGGTAGTGCAGCAGCTGAGAGCCTGCGGAGTGCTGGAGACCATCCGGATCAGCGCAGCTGGATTCCCCTCCAGGTACTGGGCTGGGAGTTTGCTGTGGTGTTGTGCTGCTTGGTGCGATTTACTCAGCAAGTTCGTTATCCCCCCACCCTTGGAAGTGTCCAAGGCCAGGTTGGATGGGGCTTGGAGCAACCTGAAATAGTGGAAGGTGTCTCTGCCCGTGGCAGGGGAGTGGAACAAGATGAGCTTTAAGGTCCCTTCCAACCTGATCCATTCTGTGATTATCTGAAGCGAGAGCGAAAGAAACATTGGTGTTTTCAGGACAAAGAGTGTTTATTTAGCTTGGTTTATATCCAGGGTAGATTTTCTGCTTCTTACGGTTTGGTTTTTTTTTTTGCAGTTTGCCAAACTCCCGTTAGGTCCTGGGTTCCTCAAATTTAAGAGATTCATTATCAAGCAAAGAGCTGCAAAGTGAGGCTGACAGAGGGTGTGTTGTGCTGTGTCCAGCGTTTCAGCTGGTGCTTTCAGTTTGGTCCTGAGATGTAATTTGACGTAGTGAAATCCCTGAATAAGCTGATGCCTGGCAGATAAAGGAATCCAGCTCTGATCCCAAATGGAGGTGGACATCAAGTAAAAAACAACAGCTTTATATCCTCTGCACCCATCCTGCCTGGAAGCAAGTGTTGCCCTAGAGAAATTCTTCCCCGCTCACCTGAAGATCCTTCCACTTTTACAATTTACTTTCCTTTGTGGTTTTTTTTTTTTCTTTCCCCTGGCTTCAGACATCTGTTGCAATTTTCATTTCAGATAAAAAAAAAAAAATTGATTGTACTTACAGAGAAAGAAAATAAGGGTTGTAAATTATTACTGTGGACTTCCACACTTGCACATCCAAAGCATCTGAGGCTTCAGAATCTTGCATCATAAAAAGGAAGTGCTGTGGGTGGCGTGGCTCTTGCTGATTGTGATATAAAATTCAAAAGAGGTTTTTAAGGCCTAATAAATCAGGAAACATAAACTGTAAATAAGCCCTGAAGATGACAAGGGCAAATAATTCTGAAAATGCATCAATTGCGTTTTTAGTGCCAAGCAGCTTTGTGTTCATGTCAGCAAAGCCATCAGCCTTTTTTATACGGGACAAAGAGGTTATAAATACGCTCAGTGAAGAGTCGGCTGAGCGTGATGTTGTGCGCCATGAGAAACTCCCTGTCCTGGATTTTGGGGAGGACTGTGCTGGTGATGGCACCGCCTGCACGTTGAGACGAGGTGGCTCTGCTGCGCTTCACCTGTGTTGGCCAGGACAGGCAAAAGCTGGTGATAGGCTTCTCTCCCTGACCAGCTGAGCCCAACTACTTAAGGAGAAAAAGAAAAAAAAAAAGGAAAAAAAAAAGGAAAAAAAGAAGAAGAAATTTTTCATAGAAACCCAATTTCTCTCTTTGCCGGTGTGGAAGGGTGGCAGAGGCATGTGGAGATTTAGGTCCTCCTTGTGGGGGTCTGACCCTGTTAGAAAACCCAGAATCACCTTTGGGTCTCATCTCTGAAGTCTTGAAGGTGTCTGTTGAAGTAACTAATAGAAAGTTGCTCCTAAATTTCATGATCTCTTGAGACACAGCGAGGAGTTAAAAAACAGCCCCTGGGTCATCTTTTGTTGTTGTCTTTGTTTCAGGGCCACATCTGTCTGTCCTCTTGCAGTAAAAGCCCTGAAACAATGAAAAAGCTGTTGTTTTTCACACGGGAAAGGCCACGTGAAGGCAGTTCTGTGCTAAGCGAGCAGTCACGCTCCCCAGTGCGGGTTTGGTGAGCTCTAACTTGAGGGTTGTCCATGAGTTTTGCTACTGGCCTTGTCAGGGCTTCAGGGGTACCCTGCTCCTCTCCATTCATAACCATACTACAGACTTTTATCCTTTTTCTACTCATCTAGCTGCAGTTTAGACCCTACAGCACTAAAATCAATGTATAATTAGTAACTGTGGAAGGGGAGAGGAGGGGAGAAACCACTGCAGCACCTGGAGACCAGCCAGGATCTATTTATACAGCAAATAATTGATTGTTGCAAAGACCCCTGCACCCTGAAAAACTCAAAAGTGATGCTCTCAGCTCTGCTTGCATGCTCTTGGTTATGAGATCTTTTCCCAGGACACTGAGAATACAGAACTCTTCAATCACTGCAATTTGTCACCTCTTGTTCTTCATCCAGGGGGGGAAAAAGAAAAAGTGCAAATGCCTACTTCAACCTTTTAGAGTGACCTTCTCCAATGTTTGAGATGCTTTAAGGACAGATTTTTTTTTTGGTGTATTTTAATGTTTCTAGAAGATAATTGTACGTGGGAACACCTCTGCACTAAATAAAATGCTCACTTTGGGCTCTGGTAGTTCTTCACCCTTAATGGTCATAAAATTCCAGCCTTGAAAATCCAGACTCAGGAGCTGGACAACATCCTTGAAAGACTGTGAATAATCTGTGTATTTGAATTGGCTTTATAAACCAGCTTGGGAAAAGATGCTTTAACAGGATCCTATTTTGTGGGAAACAGTTGCTTCTGTATTTTTACATGCAATCTGTAAGTGACCTTACAGATGGATTATTCCTCTGTATTTCCTTATATTTTGAGATAAGTGAATTTATGTTGGTTGGTTAATGATAAAACCAAAAAAGGACAGTCACTGCTTTAAATTTAAATCCCATGTGAAGGCTCTACATTTAAACCACTTTAAAATAATAACAGAAAACTCGATCTTTGTGAGTTTTGCTTCACTTCGGTGTAAGCAATTTACCTTTAAAGCAACAGGGGATTCCCAAAGTTGTTTATCTAAAGCTAAGTTTTCTTGCAGAAACTGTAGAAAATGTAGTGTTTGCATCTGAATATTTTCCATCATGCTTTTTGAGAGTGATGTGGCCTTGGGTCAGAGATCTCTGGATAAAGCCACCTTCTGCTCTAATTTCACACTACTTCATCACAGTTACTTCGTGGGTTGAAGAACGCAATGTTTTGAGTCTTTAATAATTTTTTTTTTTTACCTTTAAGAAAAGAAATAATTTTTTAATGTAAGTTGTAGTTCCTCAGCCCGTGTGAGTCACTGGAAGATGAAGCCTTGTGCTCCCCACTTGGGTTACACCTGCTTTTATTTTATCATTTCCCTGCTCTCTGCCTTTGTCTCAAGTAAATTGAAAACGTATCATTTGGTTTGAAATGCTGCTCAGCAGTTAAGAGATGTATTTGTTAGCATGTACATAAATGGCTGTGATGAATGGACTGTCTGAGGTGTGTAGGTAGTAAATCTATCATCAGCTTCCCCGGGGTAAAGTGTGGAAGATGTCTCTGTGCTATACAACCATTCATCTTCTTTACAGAAACTGGCTGCATAAAGATGAGTCTGTAGAGAATTAATTGGTGTGGATCTCCATGAATCACAAAACAGTCTCTAAAACAAGTTTTTAACTTGCCTTTTATCAAGACTCTGCATTTTTCTTCTTGTTGGTTCTGGTGGTTTGCAGTCAGTGGTCGAACAGCAACGTTCTCCCACTGTGCCATGACTCTGAATAACCTCCCCACTCGCAGCCTCTCTGAAATACTGTTGCTGCGATTGTTATGTATTTATAGTTTAAGTATTCTTGGCATTTGGCTGCTTCCTCTGGTCCCTGAATCTGACTGTCAGATGCAGCATTTTTGTACCAATTCAGTGCGAAATCCCAGCTGCTAAACTCCATAAACATTAAACATTTATAATTGAAATCTATCGTGGGCATCCAATATAGAGGTTTTTTTTTATGTAACGTGCCTTTAGCTTTCATTTCAAAGTAACAAAACCTCTAAATGACTGTGGCTACCAGCAGTTCTATCTGCCCACTCCCCAAAAAAAAGGTGTAATATGTAAATGGAGGGGTATTTTCCCCCCTTGTTCTTCTCTTTGAATATATTCCAGCTAATTTCAAGCCAGGGCCAGCCTGCATGTTTTAGAGCTAATTGAAAGGCAAATCTGTTCTGCTGCAGTAAACAAGGCAGGCGGAATTTTCTCCCTGCACCACGGTTTCTAAAATAATTTCATGTCAGATCTTGGCTGAGAGGTTCAACCTGCATCCCCCTGAACAGGCTTTGGATCCTCCAGCTCCTCACTGCTTAAAATATCAGCCCAGTCAGTGGAGGGCATCACGTGGTGCTGGCAGGATTTCTGACACAAGGCTGGGTTTGCTCAGCACACGGGATGGTCTTGGGGGTAATTAATTTGGTCACCCTGAGTGGAAACATTTTACATTAAGTTATTTTAGGCTACCAAAAGAAAACCATATTATGGGTAGGAGTTTGAAGCTTTGCTGACTTATTGTATACTCCTTTCAGCTCTTAATTCAGTGCAGCTGACATAATGCTGCTGTAATCACCCTGAAACAATGGGTTGGAGGTATTTTGGGCAGTTGCTGACTACTTGGAGTCAGCTTTTCAGAGGCTTCCTTAGAATGTCACCCCTGGTTTCTTACCCAAGCCCTCCCTTTAATTTGAGGTTGTAATAAATTCAGCTTGGCTCTCTGGCTGTAATAAACTCAAGCACAGAGGGTCTGTGCTTGGGTCCATAGCCCCTTAATTTTGGCCAGGAGCAACCTCTTTGCTTTGTACCTTGTTTTCTATAAAACATCCAAATCTGGTTCTTTAAAGTACAGAAGGAAAAAAAGAAAAAAAAAGGAAAGAAAAAAAAAAAAAAAAAAAAGAAATACTTTATTCGTGGTGTGTGTGGTGTGTGTTATGGCTTATTCCTTCTTTATAATTCCTGTAGATGGCAAAGAAATTGCTGGGATGGCCAAGTTTCCTGCTCCTGGCCAAGCCCTTGAGCATCCTCCTTGCTGCTGGAACCCAGGGAGGATTTTTTTCCTTAGGCATAAGTTATTTTCCTGCACCCTTCCATTCCTTTTATTGCCTTTTCCCCTTAGTGACCTATGCTAACTTCAAAGCAAAACGCTGATGTTTGAGGTTTAGTTGTGCTCGATCTCAGTCCCAAAATTATTCTGGTTTACCTTGGGAAAGTTTGAGAAGCATCTGCCCAGTTCTTCGTGTCTCCTTCTTCGTTCTTCTCAGCTGTGCAGGTGTAAAAATCCTCCTGATTCCAGCTCTTTCTCTACGCCACCGATCTGGATGTTATAACTTGAAAATTATATGGAATTGTATTTATTCAGTGGCCCTTGGTGGTTTCCAAGGGCCAGCACGAGACATGCCCATGCTGTGTGTTGTGTGGCAGCATCTTGAAAACTTGACAACCTTGTTTTTGTTTTTTTTTTTTTAATTTAATACCTGCCAGCAAGTGGAACTGAGGTGAAACCTTCCCATAATCTCTCCCATCCTGCTAAACTGTAGGGTAACACAGCACATCCTTTGGCTGGGAATCAGTGTGTGGTTTAGCAGGTGGGAAACAAGTGTTCTTTTTACCTCTTCTGAAAATGAAAGTGTGTGAACCTAAAGAAAAGACATGTACGTGCAGAAGAATAATTTAAAGTGAGCTTCAAGTATTTCTGCACCGGAGAGCTTTCCTTGGGAGGGGTGGGGGATCATTGTTTGTTTCTCCTGGAGCTCATAGTTGTAAGGAAATTTTATCCAGCTTTGAGCCTCAAGGGGTTCAGTGAGGCATGTTCCATTAAACCTGAGTGCTTTAATTGCTCCTTTCTCCTGGGAGGATCCTGTAACAGCACCTACGAGCCCCCGCAGCTTTCTTTTGCTTGTGAACTGGGATGGCAAAATACTCCAGCGAAACTCCTGATGGACCAGCTGAGCCCTGGCCCGGCAGGGATTTTGTGCTGACGCTCCATGGACAATAGCACAAGCAGTGTGATCTCAGGGCTGTCATCTCCTGCTGATTCAGCAGTGATGGGAAGAGGACGAGTGAAGCAGTTCTGTGCCGTTGGAGGTGCAGCGTTGGGCTGGGAGCCTCTGGGAGATGTGAATAGATGCCACCAGCCCAGATAAACACCTGGGCAGCAATCGCCGAGTGCGTTCCGTGCCACTTCCAATATCTCATGTGAGACTTAACTGCTAAAAAATACACCGTTTATGTTCAGGATGGACTCAAGTGGAAACACGTAGAAAATCAATTTTTGCCATGTTGTGAAACGAGAACAACAGGCTCTGAAGGAAGACCGTTATGTAATGACTTATGATCTATTTTTAAGGAACTCCTGCAGGTGCCTGACTCCTGTTGGAGAGCAGCTGCGGGATGTCTGTCTCTTTCTTGGTGCTGGAAGATGAATGGATTTTGCTTTCTGCCCAGCTTGGACCCGTGCCCTCAGTTTCTCGTGCTGCCTCTTCACCATCTGCTCTTGCTGGAGGAGCCTGGGTGGCACTTGCAGGATGACTTTTTTCCTGCAAGTAGCAGCAGTTAATAATATCAGCACCTAAACTGACTCTTTTTTCCCCCGATCAAGCTCTCCCTGGCTCGAGCAACACCTCAGCCAGGCAGGATATCTCCAGCATTGTGTGCTTGGCTGGGTGCCTCGGGCACTGCATGCTCTGCTTCTCCTCTCAGGTTTGATTTGGAGCTGTGTAAACCTCAGACGTGCTTACAATGAAAAGGGGGTTTATTTGCACAAACCAAAATGGGAAATGTAATTAGAAAACCGAGGCACTGAGAAAGCAAAGAGAAAGCGAGTTCAAGCTTAAACCCTACAGGAGACAAAGCTGATAGTCTTGCATAATGTTTGTGTTCAGTTTCCATCCCAGAGAGAGCTCCTTCTAGCTGGTATCTTAGTTTTTTTAAGTGATAATCCAGCACTTTTGGTTATTTGAAGGTGTGACGGGGATTAAATCAGCGCCAAATCTGGATGCTCCAGAACTAATCTGAGCAATCTGAGCACTGGAAATCCTCTCATGACAATTTCCCTCATTCTTCTGTCTCCAGGAGCCCTCCACCTTACCTTTGGCTTCAGGTGCAGTACTGAGGATTCCCTAGCTTTTCCAGTCCCGTATTCTTTGCCAGTTGTGTCCATGCAGGAGTTGCATGCCGCTTCCCAATCCTTATCAGTCCGTTTCCCCCCCCTTTTTGCTCCCTTCATTCTGTTTGCAAACACTTTCTTCTACTGTGCTCTTTTAATCATACTACTGCTTTTAATCAAGCTGGCTTTCCTCCCCTGACTCTGTTTTCTGAAAGTGACATAAAACTGTTGGGTCTGTATTTTGAAATAAGCAATATGCCTGTCTTAGTAAATACCCCATCTTCCAATCTTCAGGATGTTTCACGAGCGATATCTGCAGCTGATGACTGTGCAGCTCCTTTGTTTTAGGGGGTGTTTTACAGAGCAGCCCTGACTGCTCTGGTGGTGTGGTGTCTCGCCCAGCCCCACCACTGCAGGCTGGCCAAGGGTAAGGACCCACCACGAGCATCCCTCTGGCCGTTTACAAATTATTTTTGCTTTCCACCCGCTCCTCTTTTTATCTCTAGAAGTGGAAAACTAGGAAGGATTTAGTGTAATAGCACCAAAAATAAAGGCGTTCATGGGGCTGCTGGGTCCAGGAGATGTTTCTGAATGGCAGCACTTCATGCAGTGTGTTCTCATCCTGGCCGCCACAGCATCCATGTGGATGAGGATCCGGCTCAAAGGCGGTTGAGTAAGGGCAGGAATCAAATTCTCAGCAATTCTTTCCAGTCTCCCTTTGATGTTTGTCATTTTTTTTTTTTTCAAGTAACGATGGCCGCTCTGAACGTTTCTGGGAAAGCCTAATGTTTTAATTAAAAACTCAGGTTTTGAGGGCGTTTATAACTCACTGTGTTAAACTACAGAAGGCTGAAACTTAGCAGATGCTGAAGCAATTTCAGGATCCCAGTCTGCAGGTTCTATATCTAACAGGAGCAGCAGGAGATGTTCTTTCTTAGCGGTAGGATGCAGTGCTCTAAATCCTACAATTAGTGTTGCCTGTTTGGAAGCTTCACTGATGGTGACAGTGAGGCATCTTCCAAAGGGGCTGCTTTGTCTTTTCAGCATCAAAAGATTTTGTGTTTGTTTCCAGGGTCTACGCCACAGACCTCAAGATGGAGCAATTAATGAATTAATTGATTCTACTAAATATTCAGCAGAGTTTGGAAACACAAAATAAAACAGTATATCTTTTTCATTCATTCATTCTCTATGACTGTCAAGATTGCTTTTTTATTTTTTTGGCCAGTCAGAAGATACGTGGTTTCTCCAAAGTTAGCCTCTGCTTCCTGAAGGGAACAGGGTTGTTGCATTTGGTAAAGTGCAGCAGATTGGGGAGCACACCAGGAAGAGTGAAAACAAGGTGGCCTTTCTGTTCCAGGCTAGAAAGGCCCTGATAAGGTCATTCAGTGGCTGAGAGTGAGGGCCAGGCTGAGGGTGACCAAGCTACTTTCAGTTGTCTTTGATCCTTTCTGAGGGTAGCGGTGAGAGATCCCTCAAAATATGAGTTTCGTATTTTGACTCGCCTGTGACTCCAAACCATTTATTTCAAGGAACTATTGCCAAGCATGCAGACTAATCCAGCGTATGCTTTGCTTTCAGGTGGACCTACTCTGACTTCTTAAAGAGATATCGTGTGCTTATGAAGAAGACAGACCTCTGTAAGAAAGATGAGAGGCAGATCTGTCAGACCCTGTTGGAAGACCTCATTCAGGTGAGCTGGCACCAGATCTTTGGCAATGTTTTTAACAGCACAGAAGCTCATGGCTTTGGTGTGATCTGAAATTGCTGCTCCTGCTCCAGCTTCACCTGCTGCTTGTGCAGGCGCTTCTTCATCCCAGGCAGCCTGGGGATTTTTCCAAAATGAGATGGTCTTACAAGGAGGCAGAGGGAGCAAGTGTGGACATGGGATCTCGTGGTTGTGGTCAAGATGAATGTACCATTTCAGTGCTGGTGAAGTCCTGAGTTTGCTGTCACTGCCTGGACATGATCAACTGGACATTTCTTAAAAATGTGTCCCCCCAAGCCCTCCTTCTGTTTTTGGCCAGCCATAGCTGAAGCATGTGTTAGAGGTCCAGCCTGGGACAACATCATGAACCTTAGTCAATCATTAAATCACTCTTTGCCCTGATGACTAAGAGAAGAGTGCAAAAACTGCCTTATCTTGATGTATGGGGGACTTGTAATAGCCAGATGTGGAAAAAGCATCCCACAGATTGGGATTCTTTTCCCATAAACAAATTGGGAGGTTTTGCCCTCCCCTGCCCCCAAAACCTTACCACTCCCCTGTGCTTTATTTTTAAATAGCAAATATGCACAGGGAGGTTTCTTGCTGTTGGGTAGCCCAGAATTTGCACAGCACCTTAGCCAGGTTGTAATGTCTGATCTCTTGCTTTCCTGTGGGATATTGAGGAGTGTACCTAATTGCATTCCTCTCTACAAAAGCTGTTTTTCTTATGCACCAAGTGTTTCCCTTGGCTGCAGATCCTTTTGAATGACTTTGCAGATGAAAACGCTAATCTTTTTGAGAAAGAAATCCCTTCTTTAAATGCTGTGATGTTGCATTTTTGGTCTAGAATATGTCCCTGCCCATAGTTGGAACCAGATGATCTGTAAGGTCACTTCCAACCCAAACCATTCTAGGATTCTCTTATTTCTCTATTCAGCTTTAAAGAAACCCAAGAAAGAAACCAAACAAACCAAATACAAACCAAACCCAAAACGGAACAACAACTTCCCAAGCCATTCAAAATTTGTGTAAATACATGGAATTTAAGATTGAATTGTAATGCTTGAGTAGCTTGGAGTCGAATAATATCTTCATCAGCAATTAAGAAGGGATGTAAGCTGACATTTTATTCAAAAGGGGATTTTTACTCTGTGTCTACCAAGCAGCACAAACCGAAGAGAAAAAAGAAAATGTTAATGTTTGCCATAATTGAATTTCGTTTCCTTTGTGGTTTTGAAAAGGATCCGGACAAGTTCCAGTTTGGACGTACCAAGATCTTCTTCCGCGCAGGCCAGGTGGCGTACCTGGAGAAGCTGCGGGCAGACAAGTTCAGAGCTGCCATAATCATTATCGAGAAGACGGTGCGGGGGTGGCTGCAGAGGGTCAAGTACCAAAGGCTGAGACAGGCCACGATTGTCCTCCAGCGCTACACACGTGGGCACCTGGCACGGAGGTGGGTCCCTCCAAGGAAGGGCTCGGCTGGCAGCTCGGGTGTAAAACCACTGCTCGGGCGCTTGTGTTTTCCATTTTCCATCTTGTGGATCTTAAACTTGTGGTTTTCACGCAGAAAATGCCCTGCGTGGGGCGTCGCCTTTTAACGCCTTGAATAGTAAGACGCGTTATTGTGCCTGTGGATAACACAACGTGGCGAAAGTTTCTGTGTGAAAATCAGGACTCATTCCTGGCCCCTCTCTCTTCAGCTTTACTTCGGGGCAAGAGATTAAAATTCTTTGCCTCAAACTGGTTTCCTGTCTACATTAGTTTAATTTCTAGATGCTGGGCCAAGGTCATAGCATAGGCAGCTGGGCTATAATCAGATGACTAAAGTATTCTGAAGTATTTAGCTGAAGGTATTTCACAGAACTAATATTTTCCTGGGACTACCTGTGGTAAAGGGCATTTGGATCAGCCAGGGAGCGGTTGGCTGGTTGGTATGCACTGCCTTTTGCAGGGACCAGCTTTGTGCCTCATTAATGTCCAAGGGGAGCTCTCGGGATTGATTGGCTGTTTCCTTTTCAATGAGGAAAATTGGTCGGAATCACTGGGAGTGGGGCTGTTTACAGTACAGAATAACAGAGCTCAGTGTTTAACTCTTCGTATGAAGCTCCCTCATGCCAGTGGCTTGCTGGGATTTTTGTAAGTAACACTGTTCTGGGTTGCTGGTATCAGATGTGTGGTGAGTGCGAGGGAGCAGCAAAGCAAAGGAACAGCATCCCAACACAGTGATCACCTTCCATCTTTTGCCCCTTATTCAAGTCTGACACTGCAGTGTACAGTCACACTGAGTTTTGGAATAGCTTCAGAGGTGCAGGCTGAATTTGTGGTGTTACTTGTGATTGTGAAAGGGGTTGGTGCCATGGAGAATCCAGGGATGAGAAGGTCTAGAAGAAGCAAAGATGGGCAGTTTGGTGACTTTTATTTAAAACTGAGCAGGGTTTTTTCTTGTAAGTCCACATACTTCTCCAGACAGGTCCCTCTTTGCCAGCCTTACAGCCTTAGACAAGGCAAATGAGACCTCAGCAATAAGAGGAAGGTTAAGGAAAAGGGAGAGTTGGAAGTGTTCAAGGCCAGGTTGGACAGAGCTTGGAGCAACCTGGTCTAGTAGAAGGTGTCCCTGACCATGGCAGAGGGGTGGATGGAGCTGAGCTTTAGGGTCCCTTCCAACCCAAACCATTCTGGGATTAATTTGAGCCTCTCAGACTGGCTCTCCACCTACAGACTTGGACTTTTACATTTGACTTTGCATCAGTCAACCATTCCTCTAGGGAGAGGAGGAGAGATGCCTGCTGATGTCAAAGTGATGGAGTATGAGCTAAAAGAGAGGCCAGAAGCAGACATGCAAAAAATAACTGCTGGAGTGTTTCTTCTGTGTGATTTTTATGTTCCCCTCTTTGTGCAGGTTTCATAGGGGATGGATGGCATCTGAATAACTGCTGTCTCCTCTTTTTGGAGACAGACCATCCCTTATCCTCTTTAGTAAGGCCTGGTTTAGCAGGTCCTAATGAGAAACTATTGACCTTGATCAAGTGGATATATAAACCAAGACGATGTGGCTCTTAGCTGTGATAAGCTATTCACGAAATAGAAGAAGTGGATCAAATATCTGTATAATGCTTCATGCTGAGAGCAATAAATGAGTCATAAATTCAGCAAAACAAGCTAATTATCAAATGAAATGGAAGTCTTATGGGATTTATTAACTGGTGTAATAACAAACTGAGCATGAGTTCAGTTGGGGAGTGGGAGCCACGTGGTGCAGAGTTGACCACATCCCTTATTATTTACCCTCTATGAATTGCTTGAGGCTCTGCTCATAAATGCTGCCAAACCAGTGCACACCAGCTGAAATGTCAAATCAATTTGCTGCTGTTTTCACTGAGTCCGTAGATACCCCATGCAAAATGGGCTTTTTATAGTTAGGGAAGTGATGGAGCCAACCTGGATATTGATTGGCTCGGGTACATAAGGCAGAGAGATCAAACCCAGGGAAAACCTGAGGAAATACTTGTTTTTAATGCTGTTTGGGAACAATGAGGTGTGTTGATTTGCGGCTCCAGTGCTCCTGGGTTCCATAGATGCTGTCTAATAGCATGGAGATTTCCTTAGCCCGACTGTTGGGGTGCTCTTTCCTGAATACCATCAGGCGACTTTTGGAAAAAGAGTTTTTCTCTCTGTCCAGCCTAAAACTTACTTGGCAGAAGGAAGGGGAGTTTGGTTTCCCTGCTAACCTTTCTCCTGTGCTTTGCAGGCTCGCTGAGCACCTGAGGAGGACGAGAGCTGCCATCGTCTTGCAGAAGCAGTACCGAATGCTGCGGATCCGCCGAGCTTTCCAGAGTGTCCGCAGCTCCATCATCGCCTTCCAGGCTCTTGCTCGGGGAATGCTTGCCAGGAGGAATTACCGCAAGGTACACCTTGTTTTTGCATTATGAAAGAGTGGGAAGAACCTCTGTGATGTGTTTGTTGTGGCCGTTTTGATGTTTACGAAGCCGACGGCCTCTGGTGTTTCTGGAGAGCAGGCAGTGACAGTGAGCATTGCTATTTAAAGCTGTGCAAGGAAAAAAAAAAAATTAAAAAAAAAAAAAAAAAAGAAGATTTTGGCAGCAGCACCTCAGTGGAGCAGCTAAATGAAGCCAGTCATTCAGGTGCTGGAAGGCATTGTGGAAATCTGGGAATGTCATTTGATCTAACCTGTTCTCTGCTAAAATCTCCCTGGCCAACTGAATCTGTGCCTGAGCTGTGCTTCAGGTGCTGTTTTCCAGGAGAGTAGGAAGACAAGTAGGATCTGTTAGGGAAGGCAACAAGTCATTAATTGATAGAAATCTCCCTTTAATTAGTTCTCTTCACTAGCTTTCTGTGTTAAACCGGGACCTGAATGCAAAGAACTAAAAGTTTGATGACAACAGTGATACAGTGAGAAACCATAGAGTCCTAGAGAGGTTTGGGTGGGAGGGGACCTTCAAGCTCATCTCTTTCCATTGCCCTTTCATGAGTAGGGACACCTTCCACTAGACCAGGTTGTTCCCAGCCCCGTCCATCCTGGCCTTGAACACTTCCAGGGATGCAGGGGCAGCCACAGCTGTGGGCAACCTGTGCCAGGGCTTCCCCAACCTCACAGCCAGGAATTTCTTCTCAATCTCTGATCTAACCCTGCCCCCTGTCAGTGTGAAGCCATTCCCCCCTTTTCAAAACTCTTTCTCCAGCTGTTGTCTGTCAGGAAACTGAGAACAGCTCTGGGGAATCTTCTGTCCACTCCTCAGATCCAGCACTGTTTTGGTGGTGCCTAAACCTATACCTCACTGGGCCATGGGCCTACTTGAAGAAATGAGAAGAATGATGAGACAGGAGGGGAAAGCCTGCTCCTGGGGATGGTGGAGGTTACCTGGACACTTGGTGACCTGCCAGAGAGATCAGGGTTGTCCTCTGAGACAGGGCAGCTGGGTGCTGGTGATAAGGAAATTTGTGCTGCCGCTGCTTTTTCAGCATCTGTTTTTCAAATTGGAAGCCTCTGCAGGGGTGGCAGCTGGTCCAAGCAGTTAAACCCTCTGAGATTAAAGGTAGCCCAAATCTTAACAAGTTGTAGAAATTGGTGAAGTCCAGGACTCTCGAATCTGAACATCCTTAATCTCTAGAGCACCTGGGTATAGGTGGTGGATACGGGTATTGGCTCAAGTGCACGTTCAGCAACAGGTGCAGGGTGGTGGGTGATGCTCCTTGGGGTCAGGGCATGCCCAGTGCCCACCAAAACTTTCCTGTAAGGCTGGAATAGGTCCCCAAGGCAATGCAGTGGGGTTTCTTGTACCTCTTTGGGCACCCCCAGTTGCTCCATCTGTGAATGCCAAGGCTGGAAACATACAAAGCTCATTTCCCAGTAACTCCTGCTGCATCCCGAGTTCACGCCGTCCCTTTATTCTGAATTAAGATTTGCAATTGCAAAGAAAGCCTTAGGGTGAAACAAAAGATTTGTAAGAGAAGCTGAGAGGGTACCTTTTCTGAGACAAGTTATCCCAAACTAATAACAGCAGTGTCTTGTAATCTTCAAATTCTCCTGCTATTTATTTCCTTATCAGACTGAAGCACAGATGAGCATAAGGAAGTTATTAACAACATGCTGGTTGTACCTCTAATACTTCAGTGTTCAGTTGCAGAGGAAGGAATTGAATTGCCACCTACTGAAAAGATTGTGATAAAATTTGGGGAAGAAATTCAATGCACAAGCACCAGAAATTTCACAAAACCCCAGATAAAAGTTCCTAGAAATTGAATTGTGTGAGAGCACTGGCTGCAGATTGTAGTGAAAGGACCCAGGCTTTTATTTGAAGGTTATTCACATGATAAGAAATCCCACCAGGACAGCATTTATCTGCAGTAAAAATTATCATAATGCAGGGGTGGAAACACAGAAAAAAATCTACAGACCTGTTCTGGTGTGTGTTATATCTGATGCTGAAGGGGCCAGTAAGTTGACTGCTAAGCGTTTGCTTGTCTGTCAACGGCTGTTTATTCTGCTGGATCTTTTTATCCATTTATCCAGTGGATCTTGTGGATCTCAGTACTATTCTGAGGTAGTCCATGAAGCCTCACTTGAGCCCAGATGCCCCCTGTTCCCATCAAGTTCTCTACTCACTCACCAGGGTCATACACCCTCATGTCACTGGCCAAGCAGGTCTTGACTCGTTTTAGAGAGCCAAGCACAGTGTCTGGAGAAACCCCCCAGGAGGGGGGGATTGAAGTCCCATCTGTGACAGAGAATGCCTTTATCTCCAGCCATCTCCCTCTGCACCTACCAGGACACTCCTTGGAGGACAAGCTCCAGGCCATAACCTGAAGGGGGCTAGGTTTAGGCGGGATATTCGGAAGGAACTCTTTGCCGTGAGGGTGTCGAGGTGGTCTCTAAGGTCCCTTCCGACCCAAGCCTATCCACGGTTCTGTGATCCTATGGCTTTCCCACCCCTCTGACTGTCCCCCTTCCTGCCCCGTGTTGTGCAGATCCTGGCGGAGCACAAGGCCACCATCCTGCAGAAGTACGCCCGGGGCTGGCTGGCCCGCACGCGCTTCCGCAGGGCGCGGGCTGCCACCATCGTCCTGCAGTGCTACTACCGGCGCATGAAGGCCAGACGGCAGCTGAAGGCGCTCAGGATCGAGGCCCGCTCAGCCCAGCACCTGACCAAGCTCAACGTCGGCATGGAGAACAAGGTGGTCCAGCTCCAGAGGAAGATCGATGAGCTGGTACGTCCCGAGCTGCGCTGGGGCGAGTGCGGTCCCGCTGCCGCTCTGCTTCTGTTCTGTTGGTTCTTCCCAGGAAGGATTTCATCTTCCCGTGTGGTCTGGGAAGGGTGTCATGTTGGTGGCTGCCTTTGCTGCTTCTGGCCTGGCATTGGTAAGGGTGGGACACTGCCATGGAAGTGCGGATGCGCTTGGATCTTCGGTCTCCCCCTTGCTCAGGGAGCAGCAAAAGCTGCAGTGAAATTGCTGTGAGAACTGCCCAGGAGGACTCAGAGGAGGAAGGCAAAATGGCAGTTTTGAAAGCTGTTGCTTGAAAACCCAGGCCAGCTCCATGTGAGATCCCAATGTCAAAGGGGTTTGGGGCTCGGTTGTTCTCCTGTGCTTCCTGCCTTGTGAGTACTGAGGGTGCAGAATCTCTCTGGCCACAGTTGGTTGTATGAACTGCGTGTCTTATGAGTCACCTTCCCTAGAAGATAAACAGCAATTTGGGTCAATACTTTGCAGAGTAATTTGAGCATGTTTGTGTTACTAGACATAAGAGCTCTTCAGGAGTGAGAGCCGTGGTGAGTGGTGGGATGGTGGGGTGGAGATACCTGTGTGGGTGACTTGGTGGTCTTACTGTGACTCCTTGATCACAGGGAGGTCTTCATCAGTTGCCACTTGTTATTAATGAGCTGTAGAACAGTGGTTTGATTGCACACTTAGGAGAAGGGTTTTCCCACCTTTTAATGTAAGCAAGTTGCTCTGATAAATACCCTTTATGTTGCCATACAAGGACTTCAGGATGAGCATAAGAAATGCAGAGTGGGACCTATATATCAACAGGCAATTTCATATCCACTTGCATCCTTCAACAGGCCTTTTACAGGCAGAAGAACATTCCCTCTGAGTCAGGATAACTAGCGCCAGTTAGAGGTAATTGCGGGTTTTCATTCTGGCATGTTGTTAGGGACCCTTACACATCACACGTGGCTTCCTCACCACCTTAATCCTCTCCATCCCCGAGCAGTCCTGTGATGAAGACGATGAGAAGTGACTCTGTTGGCTCAGATACTGCAGAGTCAGGATACCCTGGGATTTGCATTACTGCTGGCAGCCTTCACTGCAGCATTAATTGGCTGCAAAGCGTGCACTGCAGCCGAGTTCTGACTTTCAGACCCTGGTGTTTAATTTTAAAACGCCTGTTTGCATACTTACGTTTTGCAAACGGTAGCTTTTGGAATGGAAGACCTTAAGCACGATGTTTGATGGGACCCTTTATCTGGAGGGTATTGGGTGGAATTGAATAGGAGGAGTCATTTGAGGTCCAGATATTTGGGCTGAACTTGTGCAGTGAGTGTGAATGTCCGTGCTAGGCCTGCTGGGCTTGGCCCTGGAGCAGCAGTATTAATTTTTGGTTTACGTTCTTCCCCAACTCGTTGCCAGTTTACTGCTAGGAAAAAAGTGTGCGAACAGAACAATAAACAAAAAAAACCCCAATATTTGATTAACCCTTCCTGTCATGGATTATGAAAGCAGCAGAAGAGTTTGCTTTAGGGAAGGAGTTGTGGAGAGCTTTTAACTAGGCAGAAATAACGGTGTGGAGCTCATCTTACTTTACTCTCTCTTGGTCTCTGCACAAGCCATTTTGAAGGAGTTTCTTTGATGCTTTCAGTGTAACTTTTGCAGGGAAGGATTTCTGCTTTGTGTTACTCGTGTTAGTCTGTCCAGTAGAGGTGATTTTAACCATCCTTGGGATGCTTTGGAAGTGCTAATGACCACCGTTACAGTGGACTTTCTTTTCAGTACACTGATTTATTTTTTTTTTTTTTTTGGCACAGTGAGTTTGCTGCATGGTATTTTCCCTGAAGGATCTTGCTAATCTATAAACACAACCTTTGGAAATACCAATTAACTTTCCAAGGAAAAAAAAAAAAAGTGTATACCAGGTAACCTGGAGAGCTGCACTTGTATCATTTTCTAAATAGCCGTGGAAGAAAATGTTTCTATTTCTGCTACTTTAGCTCCTGCATGAGTAGAGATGCAATACTCTGTGTGCCCCCGAGGAAGAGAAGATCTTTGAAAACATTAAAACCTTTTCTTGTGTGTCAGCCTCGGCTCACGTGCTCTGGCATCCGTAACTGGGATGATTTAATTCAGTTTTTTGAATGAGCTGAAGGATTTTATTTTTTTTTTTGCACACACCATAAAGGTTTAAATCTATTTTACTGCTAAACATCCTCACTGGACCACTTTTTTTCTAACTATGTTAGACTAATTCTTTCTTTTTCTTCCTGCCTTTTTTTTTTTTTTTTTTTTTTTTTTTTTTTTTTTTTTTTTTTTTTTTTTTTTTTTTTTTTTTTTTTTTTTTTTTTTTTTTTTTTTTTTTTTTTTTTTTTTTTTTTTTTTTTTTTTTTTTTTTTTTTTTTTTTTTTTTTTCAGTCGAGTTTCTTTAAATCTACATGTTTTGCCTGCCTGAGATACTTTTAAGGCTGGTACCTAATTTAGTGTTACATGTTCATGCAGCCAATAATTAGATTCACAGTGTGGTCTCCATACTATCTCTACAAGCAGTAGTATCTCCGTGAGCACTTATTGTGAATAAAACTGGGTAGTAGTAGGGATGAATTTGTTGCCTCTGCCATTGGTAGCAAAATAAAGTCTAGGCTAGGTTGAAACCAGGGTGCTCACAGCTCTGCAGGGCTGGATAATGATGGAAAAATAAAGCAAGTTCAAGTTTAACATGGTCTGTTGAGCAATCTCTGATTGCAGTGGGGAGAACCCCAGTAAATGCCCAACCATTCTAGGATTCTATGAAATGCCTTTGGTCACGCAGAAATTATAATTTACTAAGTGCTGAATTTTGACCTTCATTAATAGTTCATTACAAGGGAGCAAAGGAAAAATGTTAATATCCCTCGTTTACTAGTTTTTCCATTTGAGATGTGTGTTATCAGGTCACTGAGACTCTACATTGAGAGGGGTCACTTCGGGAGGTCACCTAAAGGAGGGGCCAAAAGGATGATCAGAGCAAACTTTAAAAATAAACAGACTACGTTTTGAAGTTTCAGAATGGTTCTTTTGCTGTCGTGGTTATCTACCTAATGTTAGCAAAGCTTGGTAGGGTCTTAACAAAGCTCTTGGTCTGTTGTGAATTAGCTGACATTTCTGGGACTGACTAACGATGATGGTGTTTATTAGTCACAGTGCCATTGACTTCTATTTGAATCACAAAAAACAAATGAGGCTACTCCGTTTTTGAGTCCGAAAATTTGGGAGCGAATCACTGCTAAGTGCTTTAAAAGAGAAAATCCGAGAAATTAGGAAGCTGACTGAGTAGGCACATGACTTAAAACTAGGGAGCTCGAGGATGCAGTTCTGCATGGTCCTCAGGTTTCTGCAGGCACAGGAGCCAGGAGTAAAAGAGTAAACTGCAAAACAAATGTCACAGATTTAAAAAAAAAAAAAAAAAGAAAAGGAAGCAAACCAATTGCATGAAGCCACAGCGTTTGGAAACTGTAATAAGGAGTGCAGTCTTCTGGTTTGGTTGCCAGTGCTACCAAGCATTGTTTGCCTTTGAGCAATATCAGTGTAATATCCATTTAACAAATGCTTCTGTAATTGTTGCCAAAATACTGTTGAGCTTTCAGCGCAGTTTAGAAGTAGCTTTTAGTTTTATATGCATGGAGATGTTTGTTATCATGAGCTTGTCACCCACCCCTCTGGAGGATTCTGAGTGGTTACTTTTGCGGTGCCTCAGTGCAGTGCGTGCATTCATGTCACTTATGCTCTTGTTTCCTTCTCTTTGGGATGCAGAACAAGGAATGCAAACTCCAGAACGAGCAGCTCTCCACGCTGAGGTCAGCCCACTCCTCCGAGATGGAAAAGCTGAAGAAGGAACTGCTGCAGTACCAGCAGAGCCAGCAGGGCGATGGCAACCAGCTTGTCAGCCTGCAGGAGGAGATGGAGCACCTCAGGCTGGAGCTGGAGAGGGCTCATGGGGAGAGGAAGGTGGTGGAGGACAGCCACGAGCAGGAGAAAGACCTGCTGAGAAAGGTACGTCTGTCTGTCCCATCTCAGGCTGGGCAGGTGGTTATACTGGTGAAAGCTCACTCTTCACGGGCCTGAAGGGGAGACAGTTTCTATTCTTTGATTAATATTTCTGCTGTTGTTGGTTTTGCTGCTGAATGCCTCTAGAATTTATCTTGAACCAGCTCATGGGGCAGCAAGGGCAGTTTGAACATCCCTGCAGGGGCAGTGACTGCCTTGTGTCAGTCCCATCTTGATGCCTTTTGCACTGCCAACGACAAAGAAACTCCCCAAACCCAAACCCTGTAAATATTAGGAAGATGTCCTTCCTCATCCCAGCCCAGGATGGGACACGAGGGTTCAGTTTTTGCCATGGCTCTGGCAGCTGTTGTAGCAGTGTTGTAGGTACACAGAGCTGAAATCTGTGTGAAGACCAACTTCTATGTCTTCTACTGCTCCAACATCACCTAGGCTGGTTGTTATGAGCCTTTACAGGGTTTGGAGCTGGGATATAAACTAAATATATTTATTTTTTTCTCCTCCTTCATGCAAACTCATAGAATATCCTGAGTTGGAAGGGTCCCACAAGTATAATCTAGTCCAACTCCAGTGCTTTATCTCTAGAGGGGGATGTGGTCCAACACTGCCACCACTGTACAAGAAAGAATCCTAGTGGAGGAAGAGACTTCAGTGTAGACAGCTTGTTTTGCAAAGAGTAAACATGGACCTTTTGCCCTGAATTCCTTTGCTGGTCAGATTAATTCTTAATAACAACCATTCTCATAACCTGAGGCACTCAGATGTGGGTTTGCTTTCCTTCTGCGAATGCTTGTGACTGATCAGGTTAAAATCCATCATATTTCTTCTGTACCAGCAAGTGAATTTAATCTTTGATCTTGCTGTTGGAAAGAATTTAGGGCTTTCTTAACTCAATATACTGCAAAGAAAGAGCTGTTTTGCAGATGTTACTCTGGAACAGCACTTTGTGTGTGACGACCTGAGGATGAGTCACTTTTGGAAACTAAAAGTGACTTGGCTGGGCCAAGAGGGGTCAGGTAATCACCTACTCCACTCTTTGCATGTGTGTTGCAACCCCACAGGGAACGTGTGAAATCAGTGATTTTCTTTTATCCACCACCAAATTAGAAGATCTTTTTTTGGCACAGGACTCCATTCATTATCTGGCTGCAGCACAGACTTTCAGAGCCAGAAAAGATGCTTTATTTTGGAGGTGATGCAGCTGGGGATAAACTGCTTCTCTTTTTTTCTGGATTGCAAATCCCCTTTGAGCACTCGGAAGGAAGGCTGGTTTAATCGCCAAAGAAATGCTTTTAAAAAGCATGAAAACAAAGCAGAAGCTTTCCCTTGTTGTAGAAGCGCCTACAGCAGAGCAAATACTGTGCATTTTACCGTGACAGTAAATGGTTTAATTATAAAACATTTCTAATGAGCAGTGCAGGCTCCCATTTCTGGCATTAGCTTTCCATTGCTCCTTTTGGTTCCTTGTCAGCGGGAAGGAGACAGGAGAAGACCTGTTTCCTTCCTGAAAACATCGATTTAGCCAAAACACTTCTCAAGGAAAATTCTGATGAGACATTTTTTGAGTAATTCTAACAAATACCAGAAGCTGGGGAGCGTCTAGAAACTGCACTCAGGTGAGAAGGGCTTTTAACCTTCAAGATGAGGATTACACCATGGCTGTGGTTGTAGTGGGAAACGTTTATTCTGGGGATGATTCCCAAAGTCATCTCACCTCTGAGTGAGACTGAGAGGAGCCTTAATTCTGTAATTTGAGTTGAGGCTTCAGATTCTGCAAACTCCTATCAGCTATGATTTTGTTACTTTAAAAAACTCCTTTAATCTCTTCCTCCTAGCTCTTCCCTCTGATCCCTTAATTTTGGAACAGCTCTTTTCACTTAATTTTGTGATAAAGTTTAAAACATCAGGTTTTGAACTTTGAGTTTGCTCCTGCTTCGTGTAGAAACAGGACTTCAGTAAACAAGTTCAGTGCCTTAAGATTCACATCTTAAAAAGAGCTGTACCCAATCCGCATTTGAAATTTGAAAACCTTGGAATAAGTGTTGTGGATTCCACTGAGCCTTTCAATTCAAATTATCCCTCTATCATTGTTGAAAATACTCCAGGTTTTTGCCTGGTTTTGTTTTCTAACCCTCATGAATTTTTCTGGGCAGAGGGTACCTTATGAGTACCCATTAGAGTGCACTAGTAAAAAGATCCTATTACCATTAGTCTTTCCCCTGATGGGATAAACGACTCACCTGATGGGATAAACAACTCAAATTCCTTGCTGTCCCATTGCAGTACAGGTTTTCATTGTTTCCTATAACTCCTGTAGCTCTTTCCCATTTTTTTTAAGAATTCTTTCTACTTTGAAGGCATTAGTGCTGATCTGGTGGTGGATGTGATGTATGGAAGAAGAAATGTAGTTGCTTTAGGTACAGAGTATTAAAATCTTGTCTCATTTCAGAACATTTAAAACACCAGTAGCTCTGCATTTCTTAATTGTGGGGTTTTTCCCTTTCTAGTTGTATCTCCAGACTCCAACATTCACATCATAGAGAGAGAGATGCAGGAGGGGATGGTGTCATGCAAGCAGCTGGAGTAAATGAACAAGGAGAGTAAGGGGTGGTCATGTTTTCCAGTTTTTGCACAGACTATGACTGATTCAGTCGGGACTTCCAATAAAATATTCATTTTACTTTTATCCTCACCATTAGTATGTATCTGGCATATATGCAGGGTTTGATAAAATACCTTAATTTGAACACGCTTGTGGGGAAGACTGAAATCTGTGCTAGGGCTGAATGCCAGCTGGGCTGCCTATAAATTCAATCTAATGGTGACAGCAAAATTATTACTCTTGGGCATGTTTACAGTGTTGTTTAGTGTTGGCATCTTGAGATTCTTCTGCTGTGTGTAGCTGTTTTCCCGAGCGGTGGCTGTAGGATGTGAGGGGAGGAGGCACAGGGAAGTGACATTATGCTGATGTGTGTTCTCCTGCCTGACAGCAGCAGAATTGTCCTGCTTCGCCGTAGCAGCATATTTCACTTGATAATATGATGGTTTAGTGTTTTTGAGATAACGTCCTTGAATGCCTCGAAGTTCCTGAGGATGAATAGTATTGTGGCATCAGGGCAGAATCAGACCAGCCTTGGCGTTGTGACAACGCAAAATACCATTTCGCAGGATTTATTTTCTGTTCTCATTAATTTTGACAGGGCAGCTGTTGGTGTTAATTGCTAGATATGCTCCTGTTGTGTTACCAAAAGCCCTGGTATGTGCCGTGCCTCACTGTACTAGTGGTTCTGCAGTCACAGGGAAGCATTAATGTGACTAACCACACTTAACGAATTGGTTACAAAATAGTTAAAAAAGCCTGAACTATTTACTCAGCTCACAGTTGCTGTGTCCCTCTCAACTCCTTAAGTGCTACATCCCTGGGAACAATCAGCAGGTTCGTTTTCCCAACAGCACTCGGTGCTTTGACTTGAAGAAAACGATGAAGCCCGCTGGGACATCAAAATAAACCTCAGATTTCACCACCCGATCACTTTGCAGGAGTTTCACTCCTGCAGGTTGTGGTCGCCAAGTCCAGCTGTTCAGTATTCTGTAAGATTCTGCTGAAAACATTAATTTAATGGAGCAGTTCACTCAGGAAGGGGGAAAGTTAGTCTCTGTGGTAGCAATGCAGTTCTCCTGCGCTCTGGCTCCTGACGTACAAAGGGTAACTGGCAAAGCACGGGGGGGATGGATCTCTTAAACAGCAAAGAGAGCCCGAACAAAGCTCCCTGTCTCCCATCAGGTGAAATGTAATCCCTGTGCAGAGGCTCTGACCTGCAGCAAGCAGTAACTCTTTGCCTTGCTCCGTAGCGTATCTCCGATTTGGAAGAAGAAAACGCTCTCCTGAAGCAGGAAAAAGAGGAGCTTAACAGCAGGATTCTCTGTCAGCCTGAAGGTAAGAAAAAAAAACACCTATAGCATTGTAATGCCTCTGCTCAACGAGGAGCTTAACTCATGTCCCCTGAATCTCATTTTTCCTGTGTGTTTTTCCTGCCTTGAAAAGCGCTCATCTTCCTGTGACCCTTTCCCGGTGTTTTTTTTTGTCACTGTTTCGTTGCGCAGGTAGTTCTGTTCACCCAGCCCTGCTGGTGTATGGTAAGCCAGAGAGCAGTTTAATTGCTGAAACATGGAATAAAAGTACCTGAGAGGGCTTTTTAGTTCAGATATGTCACAGCAGTTCCTGCAGGTGATGTGGGAGGGGCAATGAGGCTGCTGGGGTGGGGAATAACAGCATCCCAAGAATGATGAACAGAGGACCCAAGGAACAGCACAGTTTACATTACTGAGCTATGACAAAGGATTTCTCTGGTGTGACACAAGTCTGTGAGTGTTTTATAGAAGCAGAGACTTAGATGGCAAGACATACAAAGGGGAAAGCAATCTGGGAAAATCCCATGTCGCAGAAGAAACTGCATGTACTGAGCTTTTCTATTTTTTATCATCCTTTTCAGCTTTGATTTTCTAGCAGGATTTACAAAGAGCATTGTACTGTGGATGTATCTATCACTGCTCTGTGATACTTGTACTGTGGTACTTGTGAAGTACCTTTTGCCCTCAGCCTGACACAAAATCAAGGAACGAAAGTAACGTGTTGAAAAGAAACTTCCTGTAAATAATTTTTTTTTGTCTCTTATGGGATGCTTCTGGAGCACCTGAGATGGGAGAAAGCAAGTGGAGGGGGCTGGTTTGTTGTTCTCCCATTTAAAAGGACACAAGGGCTATATTTGCCCGGTTCCTCAGGAAGAGGAGGGACCAGATTAGCTTCCAAAAAGGAGTTTTTAACAAAGAAATTCATTCATGTGGAGATAAAATACTTTGAACCCCCCCAAGTCTTACCATGGTAAATGGTATTTTGTTCATTAGTCACTGTAATTGGACATATTTACCAGAAGCTCATTTCAGAGATAAAGTTCATAATTTCTTTTCTTTTTTCCCCCTTTTTTTTTTTTTTCTTTTTATTTTAAAGATGAATTTGCACGAAACGCAGTTGAAGAAAATATCCGGATGAAGAAAGAGCTGGAAGAAGAGAGATCTCGTTATCAGAACCTGGTAAAAGAGTATTCAAGTCTGGAGCAGAGATACGACAACTTGAGGGATGAAATGACGGTTGTAAAGGTAATGAAACTGGAATTATCCCTGTTCTGTTGTACCCCGAACCTGATGCTGGGGAACAACACGACTCGCTTACCCACAAAACATTTAATAGAGCTGACATTATTGTGCAGTTTGTGCTTGATATTTCTAAGAATACATTTCTACCAAACCATCCGTGTGCCTTGGAAAAAGGGGCTCGGTCTTTCATGAGTCTCTGTGGACTCCTTAGGAGTCTCCGGGAATCTCAGCAAAAGCTGGATTGTGCTCCTTGTTCTTGTTTTGTGTTGGTGATGTTCAGGTGTAGGTGTTGGGTTAAAAAAAAAAAAAAAAACCAAAAAACCCCAGCAAAATGGCTGTAGAATTTCGAAAGCCAAAGTTTTTAAGTGTTAGAAAAACTGTTGAAAATCAGATTAGTAGACTGCTGCTGGATTTGGTGGAAGGTTGAGTGTTTGAAGGGAGTTCCAGAGGGTTCTGTCAGCAGCACGATCTTGAGCTGAGATTTGCATGTTCACACTTACCAGGCATCTGGTGCCGTGAAGTGCCTTTAATCCATGCAGAATTTTTAAACTGGGTCTCTATAGCCCTTCGTATTTTAAAGTATTCCTTTGTGTTAGTAGGAATTTCATGACTAGGGCATAAAAACTCAAAAATGGAACCCACCATAAGGTGGAGGTCAAGCCTTTTGTAAAGGTAACTTTGGTATATAGTCAAATATTTGCTTTTTATAAACGACACAGTGAGGAACCCTTAAAACACTGAATGCTTTATGTGTCTGCGTTACTTGTTGGCAGCAGGCACCGGGGCACAGAAGAAACCCATCCAACCAAAGCAGTTTGGAGTCTGATTCCAACAATCCATCCATATCATCCTCTGAGATAGGAGACACTGAGGACGTGATTCAACAAGTGGAGGTAGAGGAGACTGGGCAGGGGAGGAGGAGGGAGGAGAGCCCTGGCTCTGCAGGGGTGATGGGTGTGGGGTTTAGAGCGCAAAGGTTGGGCCAGAAGGTGTGGCAGACGAAAGAAGTGCATCATTAATTGTGTCAGAGGGATTGCAGGGTTGGGGTGCTGTGGCAGATGCTTACTTCTTTGCGACATCGGGCTTAAATAGGGCTCTAAAAAATAACAAAGTGCTATCTTTGGGCCACACCAGCTTGAAGACTGATGAAAATTCATCAAAGCAGTTATACCCAGCACTGATGGTGATGACTGTATCATGATCCTTCTCTGCAAGGATACCAGAATTCATTACCCTCTTGCCCTGAGTGTTTTCACTCCCATGCATCTTCACGGATGCTTGGCTGGCCAGCACAGCCCCTGCAATCAAATAAACAGCCTCTTAATGCAGAAAAGAACAGCATAAATTATTCCCTGGCTATCAAGAATCCTGTGGGAAAGAGAAATGTGTTTTTTACTTACATTTGCTAGAATAGGCTGCTTTTTAAATTCCACTTCTGTGACTCGAGAGCACATATCAGTGATCACCGTTCCTGGGATCTGCCACCCCATTGGCAGGACCTTATTTTGCATCCCACATACACACCATGCCTGCAGAAGCCCCCACTGCCCTTAGCTGGCTGCTGTGTTACATTTAGTATTTCTGAACTCCTCTGAGAGCATTTTCTGAAGTCAAAATAAACAGTAATGGCCATGCTCTGCTGTAAAATATTCCAGGTGAAACCAGTTAAAAAAAACACCAACAAATAAATACTTGGCTGGAAGGGACTCTAGTTGGGCATTTTTGATGTTCTTAGCTGCAGCCCAAATCAGACTGCTGGGCTGTTAAGCATTCAGTGATTCATTAAGAAGAGGCAACTGTATTACTGACATTAAAAACAGGTGCTTAAAATGTAGATTTGGTCTTTGAAAGTGCGTGTCCTTTTTGAGATCCTCCTATTGCTGTCTGTGGCTGGGGTCAGTGCTGATGTACAGTCAGGACACGTCTGGCACTGTGGTTATAAAAATTGACACTGAGATCTTCTCTTTTTTCCCCACTCTCCTGTTCTTCTCTAGGAGACTGGGATGGAAAAAGCAGCCATGGACATGACCATCTTCCTAAAGCTACAGAAGAGAGTGAGGGAGCTCGAGCTGGAGAGGAAGAGGCTGCAAACCCAGCTGGAGAAAAAGGAGCAAGAGAGCAAGAAATCCCAGGTGAAAGATGGCTTTCATTGATACGAATATTTCATGTTGGTAACTGGCTTTTCTTGGTTGCCTGAAGGACACGATGGAGGAATTCAGGTTTGAGAGTGACAAGTTCAAAATAAGAGGCAGCAAATCCATCCGGAAAACAGAGATAAACTTTTTTTGTCAGCTAAAGACAGTTGAAGAGGGGAAGTCCTTTGTTTATTTGTATAAACAAACTGGTTATGAAATATTTAGGGCAGTATCTTGAGTATCTTGGAAGCTCTTTCCAACAGCTTGAGAGGACGGTGGAGCTGGGTGCAGGTCGGGCTCTGCTCTCAGGGAACAAGGGACAGGAGGAGAGGAAACAGCCTCAAGCTGTGCCAGGGGAAGGTTAGGTTGGATATTAGGAAATACTTCTTTAAAGAAAGAGTTGGCCACTGCCCTGGCACAGCTGCAGTTCACACATGTCAGTCAGGCTGGTGTCCTGGGTTTGGTATTGTTATCATCTGTGTGGTTTGGTTGGTTTAGAACTTAAAAAGGGTATAGTAAATCAGAAATAGCAAGATAGCTGTTAGAAGAATGGTTTCTTCATTCCAATTGCAAGGCAGGGGTATTCCTATGCTATATTCTTTCTTCCTTGTGAAAAAAAAAAATCATCCTACAGTTCAGGTTGTTTGCTTGAAAACAATTAAAAAATATATATTAAATATTGATATATATTTATCTACTATCCTATATAAAATGTATAATATAATTATATTATATGGAATGTGTTTGTCTTGTATATAATGTAAATATTAATATATATCCATATATTTTAAAAATCACCATTATTGACATCCCAGTAACTTAAGGGACAGGAGTCCATCCAGGCTTACAACTGAAGTCTGAAAATGTAGCTCTCTGTGTTCTGGTGAGAGGAATTCTGGGACTGGGGGCTTTCACTAGCAGATCTCTTGTGCCCATTTTCCCTACCACCTGTAACCAAGACTTTGTGGCTTGTCCGAGGCCACAGAGGGGATGATGCGTGCCATGAAACAGCAGTGCTGTGTGCATGGTACTGTGAGACTTGGCGAAATCATCAGCAGTAATTATTTGCTTGCTTCACTACATATTCTTACTGATCACCTCTGGCAATTCGCAGGGGACACGTGAAATAGGAGACTTCCCCAGCCTCTCCTCCTTGCTGCAGAGGTGGATTAAAATCCTGTTTTCTGACTGCTGTGTTGAAGATTGTTCCCTTAATGACTGTCACTGGTTGAAGGCTGCAGCGAGCCGCAGTTGTCAGGATATTAATGAGAGATTAAACCACTTTCTCTTGAAGTGTCCTCTGCCCCATTTGGTGTTGCTGGGATGCTGTCTGATGGCAATAATTAACGTTATTATGGTTGAGCTGGCCGGACGCGCCCAACCATCCTGTGCTATGTGCCAGCTCCTCTGGCTGCTTTTAAATATAAATTTATCTCTTTAATCCATGCAGGTTATTGAAACAAAGACCATGGCTTCAGAACAGGAACATTTTGCATACAACAGCCTGAAGGTGAGTGAGGGGCTCCCACTTAGTGCTGTAACCTGTTCCATGGCTCCAGCAGCCCAGACAAATGGTATGAACGTGGTAATAACACAAAACCTCCTGTAACTGGCTCTGTTAGAGGGGGCAGCTGTAGCTGTAGCTGTAGCTATCAGCTCTGGAGTCTGGGATGGGCTCACAGATGTTTCCCCCTGGGGCAACACCTGTTCTGCACTGGTCTACCTGTTTCTCAGTCATCCACACAGGTAAAAAGCCCACTTATGGTGGAGAGTGTTTTTTTCACTGCATAAACTCCCACTGGGACCTTATTGGGTTTCCTCTGATGGGACGCTGCAGGTCTCAGCAGTTTGCTTTGCTGTAAGTGTAAATCTCACCGCTGAAGCCCAGTGTGCTTCTTGTTCCAGGCTTCAGTTCTGCTTTTTGTCCAGTTTCTGTGCATTCCCGAGGTGCCACTCAGGTCAAAACCAAATAAATCCATGGATGTTCTGTCTCCATCATTTTCTCCCTGTGACACACAGAGCAACTGAAGCCTGCTGGGCTCCTACTGCAGCTTCTGTGGGTTCTCCCCTCCTGCTCTAACAGTACCCAAATACACCCAGTCTTGACTATTAGACTAATCCTTATGTCTTGCTTGTCCTCAGAAATCCAGTTTCCAGATTAGGGTTAATAAGGGAATTTTTTTTAATTTTTTTTTTTTTCAGTGCAGACCTACCTTTCAGAGGCTCCTTCTCTCCCCATCCCCATAACAAATATTGCAATACAACTAAGAAGTCCAGAGGGACACATGTTATCCAGAGTAACACAGTGCTAAACCATCTGTCAGTAGTAACACCATTTTTGCTTCTGCATCATCTCCTCTGAAGGACACAAAGACCACAGAAATTAGAGGTGGAAAGGATGGATGTTCAACCCTCACTAAGCACACACCTCTAGCAGAAGCTTTTTCTGTCATTTAATCCATCCACTTTTTTATTTTCTGAGCATGGTATTTATGTTGCACTGGCTGGATGTGCTTTTTGTGGCAGAGGGAAACCCTGCTGAGTTTCATTAGTACCTCTGCACAGCCTCTAGGAGAAGAAGGATGGCACCTTCTTAAATGGCTTCTATGGAGTTCTGGCTTCAGTGTGAGTTCAAAAAGTGTGTTTTCTTCAAGCTTTAACCCAAAAAAGTTCAGAGAGGAGGTTGTAATTTTGGATTTTCTTACTTTCTACATTCCTAATGTACTAACATGCGTAGTCCTGCGTATCTAAGAAACCTTGAAAACTCACTGTTAATACCATTTCATATGAGTAGGTAGTAGCCTATATTGCTAAAAATTAAGGGCTCTTTAGCCTAAAACAGGTGGAAAATGAACCTGCAGGGATTTTATGTTCCCTATAGGAACACAGGATGTTTCCCTGAGAGGCAACAGTGAAAAAGAGAGACAAATACACCTCACTTGTGTTTTCCCCACATCTGGATATAGGACACTGCCTTGAAGTCTCTCTCTGCAATGAAAGAGTGACTTACTGCTGATTTTGAGGGCTGCTTGTCCCTCCTTCCCCCACGACAGCTGCTTCAGCAGCTCTATGGCAAAGCTCTTCCTCTCTGTATTTCTCCTGCTAACTTGTATCTCAAAAACTTACACTATCTCGGGCTCCTTTAAGAGCCTGCTGTATATAGGTTTATTTTTTCCTTTTTGCCAGCTTTAAAAGACTTTATCTTGGGGAACCAGGCTGAGGTGCCTAAAAGCTCACACACATCTTTCTGTGGATGCTCTTGAGTGGTCCATGAGATACCGGTCATGGAGGAGGAAGAGATATTGGCTTGAATGCTCCACTGATGCTCCATCTTTTACAAACTGAGACACCTTAGCCAGTTCAGAAAGGTTTCAGGTTTTAGAAAGACACTGGCTGCAGTGTCTTTGAGTTAGTTCTTTCCTTTTGTAACACTGCGAAGAAATGTGGGAAACTTGAGCTAAAACTCGTCGTTACAGCAGGCAGAAATTACCTGCTCTTTGTAAGGGAGAAATAGATTTTTCAGTAGTGGCAAGTGTCCCTGCCCATGGCAGGGGGGGTCAGACTACTACCCAAACCATTCTAGGATTCTTAGCAGAAGCACGAGGCACAACTGAGTTTGGGAATGAATTTACACATAAGCTCTGAGTAGAGTCCAAGGCTTGGCTTTTGAAGCAGGGTTGTTGGTTATTCCTTTCTTTCCCAGTCTTCCTGGCTTTGTTTCTATCCAGAGCTGAACTTCATATGACCAGTCCTTGGAGTCAGCAGTGTGGCTTACCCATTAAAAAAAGGAGGAGGAGGAGAAAGGGTTAGAGAGGGGGAGGAGGAAAGTAAAGAAAAAGGAAATCAGAGGTCTTAACCAGCAAATAACAAAAATCACAGGAGAGCCATTTTGTGCAGAAAAGCAGGTAATTGCTTTCATCTTGCCCTTTACCTGTCGCTGAGCATAATCAGTAGAGAGTGAATTAACAGTTAAAGAGTGAAGATGATGCTTTAGCCACGTAGCAGGAACACTTAAAACCCAGTTTGGTATCAATTCCCACCACGTGCACAACTCTTGCTTTAAAAACCTGTACAGAGAAGCCCATGTGTCATGTGCTCCCTTAGCTGAGCTGTGCCTAAGGTGGAAGAATTGCTGGATCTCATGCATTTTCTTATCCTATCTTTTTTAAATGACAGATGGTATCGAGTACCTGAATACGCTCCATTGCTGATGTTGTTTGTTTAGCTAGGAGCGTGCTGTCCAGATGCCAGATCAGCTATTCTGTTCACACCTCTGCTGTGATAAGCCTTGCTATTTATAATTTGTAAGGATTTATAATTACAACACCCGTTTCCTATGGAAACGAGGTTTACACAGCTGTGCTAGCTACCGACTGTATAAATTGTATAAATTGCCCCCATCCTCCCCAGCCATTTTTGGATTCATTAGCTCGCCTCAGCCCAAGGTGATAATGAAGCAGATATCCCAGAGATAAAGGGGATTGTGGAAGAAAGCTGTGGAAAGGCTCAAAAGGTGGTGGGGAGAGGGAAGCACCTGGATCTCAGTGGGGACAGAGCTTGTGCTGTTGTAGAGGATCCACACGGGGTTTGTCCCTGGGAAAGAGCTGATCCCAAATCACTCAGACGGCAGACTTTGTCAGCTCATTTTGCAGGTGTCTTGGTTTGTGCCATGTTGGATAAGGGTCCTGTTGGGTTTTGGCATTGTCTGGGTGCGTGGGGGCAGGAGGGAGCAGTCCTGGGTGCCACCCTGCAGTAGCTGGGGGTGGAAGATCAGTGCAAGGAGAAGGTGGGTTGTTGGATACTGGCTGTGAGCAAGACCCCAGGAGTCTGGCTCCCACCCTGTCTGTGACCTGTAGCAAAGACTAACAGATTTAAGCTGAAAGAGGGTAGATTTAGATTGGATATTGGGAAGAAATTCCTGGCTGTGAGGGTGGGGAGGCCCTGGCACGGGTTGCCCAGAGAAGCTGTGGCTGCCCCTGGATCCCTGGAAGCGTCCAAGGCCAGGCTGGACGGGGCTTGGAGCAACCTGGGGTAGTGGAAGTTGTCCCTGCCCCATGGCAGGGGCTTGGAAAGAGATGAGCTTTAAGGGTCCTTTTCAGCCCAAACCATTCTGTGATTCTATGATTGCGCTGCTGCAGAAGTAAAGCTGCTCTTGACCCAGCTGGGATGCTCCAGGTGGGTTTTGGGTGCTTGCAAAGAGCTGCCAAATGTTGTGTTGCCACCTGCAAAGTTTCAGGGGTGACATGCTAAAAGAAAGGCTGTCTTAGCTACAGGATTTTCGTTCTTCTGTCTTCTGCTGTCATGCAGAAGCAAATGAGCCCTTCAGCTGTCTCAGCAAACACATTGTTATTCAGGAGAAATAGTCACAGTCAAACCTGTACAGTGTTGCCCCTGCCTGTCAAACGGCAGCATTTGATGAGATGTCAGGGCAAGAAAATCCTCCAGCTACAAACACCGCACCAGGGTGAGGGAATTACACGGTGTATGAGAAAAGAAGCTGTAGTGGGAATTCACAGACCCGTGGCTCACCTGATGGGATGCCTGCCATGATGATGGGTCATGTAAATCAGCACCTTCCAGCTTACCTAATGAATTTGAAAGATGAGCTGAACATTGTGGGGTTGTGGTGATTTCTTGATTGAGAAGGAGAAGAGGTGGAGAATAAAATAACGTGTTTAGCTTCTTTAGCAGCTTGCTTTTGTGTTTAAAAATAGTGCCACCAAATAAAAAATCTCCTCTGTGTCCCCTGTTAGTGTTGTTACTAAACAGCAACAGGCTGCTGATAAAAGTAAAACCCTTTTCTGAACCACACGTGGCTGGACTGGCTGCAAAATCCATATCCTGTCTTTAATTCATCATTCAGCCATAATCACTACTAATTGAGTCACCTTAGAGGTGTCTCAGAAAAGGATGAGGCATTACAAGACAACTTATCCAAACTGGTTAATGGCTCAATATTTTCCAGAGGCAAGAGCTGGAGTCGGAGAACAAGAAGCTGAAAAATGAACTCAACGAGCTGAGGAAGGCTATTGCAGACCGAGCGACCCAGAACAACTCATCCAGCGATGTCAGGGACAGTTACAACCTCCTCCTGAGCCACCTGAAAGCGGCCAACGAGGAGCTGGAGGTGCGGAAGGAGGAGGTGCTCATCCTGAGGTCACAGATCATGAAGGCAGCCCAGCAAACGGAGACGGGGAAAAACACGCTAAAGGAGAGGGTAATGGCTTTTCTTCTCCATTTTCCCTTCTCTTGGTGGAAATTCAGTGGCTACCTGAGCGATGCCTCTTGTGCTTTGGTAGGCTCTGAGTGCAGGATGGCCTGGGCTGGTCACAGGGGGTCGTGCAGGGATATAGGAGGTTCTGCCTATGGATGAGAAGCAGCCCATGACATTTTAGACACCCCAGGACTACATACCTCGTGGTACTGCTGTAAGGTGCTTGACAACATACCTGATGAGGTCTAGCCAGCCCCACACCAAGGAATAGCTTCTCCAGTCCTATACCGAGGTGTGGTGGTCCGAGATGTTCCTGGTGATGTTTTCTGACAGCGCTGTTATTCTGCAGGAAAATGGGATGGGGAGGAACAGCTTCTGGGTCAGATTCTGCTCACTTGAGGCTGGTGCAGCTGTAATGTGTTTATGCTGGTGTGTAGACAAGAGGAGAGCCTGTCTCTTAAACAGCTGTGATGTGCTTTTGTTTTTAGAGCCCATTCCAATGGGAGAGTACATTTTTCCAAAAACTCTAACTTGGGCTTTTTTTATTCACTGTCTTACCATTCCTCGAGGTTTTGGTATGTTTCGTATTTCAGACCAAGCACCCCACTTATCCTCTCGTGTTCACTGCATCACTTCCACCTCTCCTCTCTCCTGCTGTCTGTTTGCACGTGTGCGAGTTCAGAGAAACTCTCTAGTCTGTTGGATGCCCTGGGGACGCTCTCAACAGAAGCTCCTAACAGCTCTTAATAGAATGTTTGGGAGCTGTTTGGCATTGGGGGGGACTTTTAAAGGCAGGAAGAGGAGTGCACGATGTCATGCTGCTGTTTTGCTTGTTGGATTTAGGAGGGCATCCCCAGCAATGCCAGCTGGCCCAACAGTGACAAGCACGTTGACCAGGAGGATGCGATCGAAGCCTACCAGGGGATGTGTGAGACCAACCGGTAAGTGTGGCCCGAATTCTTCCAGCAGCATGGGAAGGGGTTGGCCAAAGTGAAAGAGGTGGAATCCCGACCAAAGTGTGAGAGACGGGGTCCAGATCAAAATCAACAGCAGGATTTTAAAAGAGTTACCAGATTCTGGGTGGTGTTACGGGCCCTTGGGTCAAGGGTGGGCCGCAAAGGTGAAATCAAAGACGCATGTCTTACGGAATCATGGAATCCTGGGATGTTTTGGGTCAGAAGGGACCTTAAAGATCTTCTAGTTCCGACTAGTTCTAATGGGTGAGGAGCCCTCATTGCTAGGGCTGTGTGTCCCCCCAGGAGAGGGGAGATACTGAGCAGGTAGAAACGCAAACACGAAAGCAAGCAGAACTGGATTTTGACTTTGCTTCTGGGTACATAAATAGCAGCAAGACGAAGATTTGGGATATATTTGAGTGAGTTACTTCAAGTATCTCATACCATGCTGAGAAGACAGCACGGTCCCCTTCTCATTTTCCCAGAGGCAAAAGCCTGCTGTGGCTAACTGAGCTAACAAACATGCCCTGTTCCCTGGAAACGCTCACATTATTGCTTTTCTTGCATCCAAACTGAGTGTTGGGAACATCTGTTTGATTACAGGTTTACCATAGTGGGGGTTAACTCTGTGAACATGTGTCTGTCCTTACAGTAACAGTGGGCTGATATTGCTAAGCATTAAAATCATCCTTGCAGTTATCCAGGAGGATATCAAATAATAAAGTAGTGTCTTGCAAGAAGACAAAATTACATGGATTTAACAGCAAGATAGTATGAAAAGTAAATTTTTATTTCACTCCAAGGAAATTGAATGTTTATCTCTTTTATTTTGTCTCTTGACAAATATAGATGTTTGAGACTTTTTCCCCTAAATAATTTCTATTCATCAAGATAGAAGACAAAGCCACTGTGGATTAATGGCTTTTAATAATAAGACAGTATACTTTGCCACTTTTTAGAGGGGTTGCAGAAGGTTGCTAACACTCCAGGATGTGACAGACCGTGACTTAATGAGGATTTTACTCATCCCTTTATGAATATGAGG